CACACCTAACAACAGGTCCACAAAGTACAAGAAGCAAAAACTGACAAAATGTAAAGGATAAATAGGCAATTCAGCAATATTTGATTTCACTACCCTACTCTCAATAATTTATAGGACAGCTAGATGGAAAATAGCAAGGATCTAGAAGACTTGACACTCTCCATCAATTCTATCTAAGTCACCATACATAGAACACACCACTTAACAAAAAATACACATTCTTTTTAAGTACATGTGGAACATTCTCCAGGATACAGCATAAGTGACGCTATGAAATAAATCTCGATACATCTAAAAGGATTGTAAGAATGCAATTTATGTTCTCCACTATAGTAGAATTAAGTTAGAAATCAACACAAGAAAGAAATCTGAAAAAACCCCAAATATTTGGAAATTAAACAACACACTTCTAAATACTCAGTGAGTCAAAGAGGAAATCACAATGGACTTTAAAATATTTTGGACAGAGTAAATGAAAAATGCAACATAACAAAATCATAGGAGGCAGGTAAAGTAATACTTAGAGGGAAATTTATAGCTTTAAACACCTAAGTCAAAAAAAGCCCAAAATTGATCATCTAAACTTCAATCTTAAGAAACCACAAAAAAGAACCAAATAAACCCAAAATAAGCCAAAGAAAGGAAGTAATAAAGATGAGAGCAGAACATGATAAACTAGAAAACAGAAAAATAATAGAGTAGAATCAATGAAACTACAAATTTGGTCTTTGAAAAGATCAGTGAAACTGACAAACCAGTAGCTACATTGACCAAGAGAAAAGGGAGAATGTACATATTAGCAAAATCAGAAATGAAGGAGAGGATACTATGGCCTCGACAGAAACTTGAAGTTGACCAACTTTATGTCAACAAATTTGGTAATTTAGATATAATAAACAAATTCCTATAAAGATACAAGTTATGAAAATGGACTCAAGAGGAAACAGAAAATCTAAACAGACCTATAACAAAGAAATTAGAATTAGTAATTTAAAATGTTTCCATAAGGAAAAGCCCAAACCCAAATGATTTTAATGGTGTATTCTATCAAATGTTTATATAAAAAATAACACCAATCCTTCCCATACTGTTTCAGAAAATAGAGAAAGAAGGAACACTTGCTAACTCATTCCGTAATGCCAGTATTATCCCAATACCAAAGCCAGACAAAAACGCAATAAGAAAACTATAGATCAGTATCCCTCATGGACATAGATGCAAAAATTCGTAACTGCGTACAGAAGGTCCCCAACTTACAATGGTTCAAAGTTACAATTTTTTGACTTTACAGTGGTACAAAAGAAATATGCATTCAGCAGAAACAGTACTTCAGATTTTGAATTTTGATCTTTTCTTGAGCCAGTGGTTTGTGGTACGGTACTCGGTTGTGATGCTGGGCAACAGTGGCAGTGAACCAGAGCTCAGATACACGATCACAAGGGTGAACAACCACTACACCTACAAGCATTCTTTGCCCATAGAACCATTCTGCATTTCACTTTCAGCACAGTATTCAATAAATTACATGAGATATTCAACTCTTTATTATAAAATAGGCTCTGTGTTAGATAATTTTGGTCAGCTATAGAGTAATCTAAGTGTTCTGAGCATGTTTAAGGTGAGCTAGGCTAAGCATTGATGTTTGGTAGGTTAGGTGTACTAAATGCATTTTCAGCTTAACCATATTTTCAGTTTATGATGGGCTTATTGAGATGTAACCCCATTGTAAGTCAAGGAAGATCTGTATTAGCAAACTGAATCCAACCACCTATAAAAAGAATTATATACCATTATATACCAAATGGAATTTATCCCCAAAATGCACTGTTGGTTTAACATGTGAAATCAATTAATGTAATTAATGCACAGTTTAACATCTGAAATCAATTAATGTAAGGCAATTACGAAATTGAATGCTCTTTTCGTAAGACTGGGGACAGGGTAGTGAGGTTCCACTCTTGCCACATCTATTCAGCATTATACTGGAGGTTCTAGCCAGTACAATTAGATAAGAAAAATAAAGGAGTCTATACTGGAAAGGAAGAAGTAAAAGTATCTCATATGACATGATCTTGTGTGTAGAAAATCCCAAGGAATCCACAAAATCTACCAAAGCTCATAAGCAAGGTCACAAGGATCCAAGATTAATGTAAAAAAATCAGTTGTATTTCTATATATCGAGAATGAACAGTCTAAAAATGAAATTAAGAAACAATTTAATTCAGGGTGCCTGGCTGGCTCAGTTGGTTAGAGCATACAACTCTTGATCTTGGGGTTGTAAGTTTGACCCCTACGTTGGGTGTAGAGATTGCTTAAAAATAAAATCTTAAAAAGAAAAAAATAATTTCATTCACAGTATCAAAAAGAATAAAATAGTTGAGGATAAATTTAGTAAAGAAGTATAAGATTTTTACCATGAAAAGTATAAAATATTGCTGAGAGAAACTATAGATCTAAATAATATGGAGAAGAAATATTACATGTTCATAGTTTGGAAGACTCATTATTGTCAAGATGGCAATTCTCCCCCAAATTGATTTATTATTAAAAAAATTTTTTAATGTTTATTAATTTTTGAGAGAGGGAGCGTGAGCAGGGGAGGGGCAGAGAGAGAGGGAGACACAGAATCCAAAGCAGGCTCCAGGCTCTGAGCTGCCAGCGCAGAGCCTGGCTAGAACTCAAGAACTGTGAGATCATGAGCTGAACCCAAAGTTAGACACTTAACCAACTGAGCCACCCACGTGCCCCCCAAATTGATTTTATGAATTCAAAAATGATTCATATCTAAATCCCAGCACATTTTTTTAAATAAGACATTACAAGGTGATTCTAAAATTCACATAAGAAATGCAAAAGACCTAGAGTTTTAAAGAACTAGGGTTGAAGACTTAGACTATGTCATATCAATACTTACTATAAGTCTGTAGTAATCAGCAATATAGCACAAGAATAGGTGTAGTATCAGCACAAGGATAGGCATATAGCCAATGTAACAAAATTAAGAATTTAGGGGAAAAAATCCTACATTGATTGTTAATTTATTTTCAACAAAGGTGCCAAGACAATGGGTAAAAGATAGTCTCTTCAGGACGCCTGGGTGGCTCAGTCGGTTAAGCGTCTGACTTCACCTCAGGTCATGATCTTGCGGTTTGTAAGTTCGAGCCCCACGTCGGACTCTGCTGACAGCTCAGAGCCTGGAGCCTGCTTTGGATTCTGTGTCTCCCTCTCTCTCTCTGCCCCTCCCTGCTCACTCTCTGTATCTCTCTCCTTCAAAAATAAACAAACATAAAAAAAAAATTAAAGGTAGTCTTTTCAACAAATCGTGCCAGGACAGTTAGAAGTCCACATGCAAAAAAAATTATCTTAAATCCTCCCCTTAAACCACACACAAAAATGAACCCAAAATGGGTGATAGACCTAAGTGGAAGAGCTAAAACTGTAGAACTCTCACAAGAAAAACAGGAGAAAATCTATATACTTTTGGGTTGGGCAGAGTTCTGAGATATGACACCAAAAGCACAATCCATAAAAGAGAAAAATGATATATTTGACTTCATCAAAATTAAGAATTTTTGGTCTTTGAAAGATGCTGTTAAGGGAATGAAAAGACAAGTTACAGACTCGGAGAAGATGTTTAAAATCATAAATCTGATAAAGGACTTGCTTCCGGAATAAACAAGGGACTCCTAAAATTCAATATTAATAAACCTAATTTTAAAGCGGGAAAACTATTCAAATAGACATTTTGCCTAAGAACATATACTAGGGGCTAATAGGCACTTGAAAAGATGTTCAACTTTATTAGTCACTAGGAAGATGCAGTTAACAATATGAGATGCCACTGGAATTATATACTAAAATGGCTATAATTAAAAACACCGACAATACCAAGTGTTAACAAGGATGTGGAGAAACTGAAACCCTCATAGAGTGCTAGTGGGAGTATAAAATGATACAGCCTCTTTGGAAAGCAGTTTGATAGTTTCTTAAAAAGTTGAACATAAACTTACTATATACCCCAGCAATTCCTCTCCTAGGAATCTACCCAAGAGAAATGAAAACATACTTCCTTACAAAGGCATGTACACAGATGTTGATAGGACACTATTCATAATAGCCAAAAATCAGGAATAGCCCAAATATCTATTAACTGGTGAATGAATAAAAATAATTGTGGTAGATCCACTCAATGAATTGTTATTATTCAACAATAAAAAGGAATAGAGTACAGCATGAATGAGCCTCAGAATCATGTTAAGAGAAAAAAGTCAGACACAAAAGGCCACATGTTGTATGGTTCCATTTACATGAAATGTGCAGAAAGGGTATATTTGTAGAGCAAGAAATCAGACCGTACGTAGGGCTGGGGCTGAGAGCGGAGCTTAACTGCAAAGGGGCACAAGGGAGCCCCTTGGAATGATGGAAAGGTTCTAACATTGGGTTGGGTGGTGGTTGCCCAGCTCTGTCAATTTACCAAAAATCACCCAATTGTACACATACAGTAGGCGAACTTCATGGTAGGTAATTTATATCTCAAAGCCATTTTTATATCTCAAAGGTTTGTGTGTGTGTGCTTAAATTTTGAGGGCTCTTCTAAATCCTGATGCAACAGGGATTGATTTGTTTACCTTGTCACACAGATGCTCTTATGAATTTAATCTTCCTCTCTCTCTCTCTCATAAGAATGACAGTTGTTAAAAGAAATACATACACGCCTGCCTTTGTTTCAGATCCATTCTTCCGACACCTCTTTGTGTTTCTCAGCTCCATCCAAGTGGCGTTTGATTTCGGCCTCAGTTGAAGTTCTAGTATTCGTTCTGTCAGTGGTCTTGTCTTTGACAAATTTCTTTTCAGGATGGTATTAACTTTAAGAAACCTCAGCATGGAACGGTCCTTATGTGCTTTTAATGTCCTTTGTTAAATCCTTTCATGGGTACACAGTCTTATTTCTGAAATGCACCTGGATTTTAATTATATGCTTGTCTTTCCTTTGAAACTAGAATATGCTTCTCTGGGATCACTCTATGATTACATTAATAGTAACAGAAGTGAAGAGATGGACATGGATCACATTATGACCTGGGCCACTGATGTAGCCAAAGGTAACAAAGCTTCCTGTGTTCTCACAGAATTGGTGGGGCACGTTTTCCCATCTTGATGTGGTGACTTAAGGCAGAAGATTTGTTCTTCTGTGTCTTTAGATGTTTCTTTTTCAGACTAAAAGTACCAGGAGTTCTGCAACTTTCTGTACAGATATTTTCATTGTATTTCATATTTTAATTCAAGTATAGTTATTTAACATACAGTGTTACATTCACTTCAGGTGTACAATATAGTGATTCAACAATTCTCTACATTACTCAGTGCTCATCAGGACAAGTGCACTCCTTAATCCTCTTCACCTGTTTCACCCATCACCCCCACCCCCCCAGCAGCCATCTTTTTGTTCTCTATAGTTAACAGTCAGGATTTTTGGTTTGTGTGTCTCTCTCTCCCTCCCTCCCTCCCTCCCTCCCTCCCTCCCTCTCCCTCCCTCTCTCCCTACCCCCCCCTCTTTTGTATAGATATTTTAAGTCCCTGCCTTTCCACTCCTGCATTCTTTTTCTCTCTTTACTTTATTTCTTTCCCTAAAACCAAGTCCTAACAAAATATGTGGCTCCAGGGCAGCCATTTATGCCACGTTTTGTGACATTGTAATTGACCAGCTTGCTTGATCAACACATTAAATGGAAAGATCGTAATTCTGTTGTTCTGCAAGACTCCACTCAGACTTAGTATCCAGAAAACGTGATTTATTGTGGGATTAGTTCTACTCATTTTGTGTACATAATAATATGCTAAAAATAGTAACCACTTTCAAAAAAAAAAGTTTTATTTGTCCTGCCATGTGAAAGCAATTCGGATTTTATTTTATATTTAATGTAAACTTGGAAGTCATCCTTGGAAATGAAATATTTTTAATACCCAAAACCCCTAAACAAGGTGCCCAGTTCTTTTTCCCTCATAAATTCCTGCATAGACTAATGCTTTCTAAAGCAATTTAAATTCCGTTTATTTTTATCTTTTCTTTTCCATTTTCCTAACTGAAGGTCTCTGAATTTTATTTATAACTGTCAAAGTTGCTTTGGAAACAACTTAATCTAAATAATGAATGCTGATAGTTACACTTGTATTCTAGCAACCCCTAGAAAGTAAGGGTGTCCAGATTTTAGCCAGGCACTTCACTTCTTTGCATCTCGCTAGTCTAAGCTCTATAAGCATCTCTTTACAAAGCAAATAAAAGGATATTTAGCACTCAGTAAGGAGAGCAACTCATACTTTGCTTTCACTGGGAAGTCACACAGTGACTTCCAAAAGTAGTAGTCTTTCCTTTGGGGAATTATCTTGTCAGTTTTAAGTTTCATCAACACTGCCAAATTCTTCAAATAGGGAAAGTGAAGAAAAAAAGTTTTTTTTTTAATTTCATGCAAAATGCTGCTGCTGAACCATACTTCATTACCTTATAAGAATAACAAGCTCTGTGTTTAGGATGGTGTGCCTAAGGCTTTGGCTATGTTAATTAACTTAATTGTGTATTCATGCATCAGGCATTTCAAAATCAGCCTTAAATTTTGGCATTCTTAAAGACATTTTCCTGTAACATCATAGTCACTCCTGTATGTGTCACCAGTACACGGGAACCGCCTGTTTGTAAGCAGGGTGGTGTGCTATTTCGGAGAACCACCGGAAGCATTGTGGAAACACACTCACATAAATGTAAACGCATATACAGGCAGTCTCTGGCTTAAAGCACTTCACCTTACAGACATCTGCATTTAGGGTGCTCAGCCAATTACACCCATGTTATTACTTAATGGCACTTAGGATGGATAGACAGCAAACAAATCAACTGACATCAGTCACTCCGCTTCCTGCTGTGCACGTGCCACTTAAGCTTCCCTGGCCCTCAGCCTGTGAACCTCTTCCCTCCGGCCCTTTCCCTGCACGGTCCTTGTCTGAGGGGCAAGTCCCTTGGCTCCAGATCAGCTCAGTCATCGCTGGGGTTTCTCAAGACGGCTGGCACTGGGTGTCAGAAGGACAAAGAAGAGAAAGAGCAGGGCTAATTAAGTAGTAGACTGGAACTCCAGGGACAGAGTAGGGATGGAGGGAATGAGTAGACGGGGACTGCATGCCAGACTGCAGAGTAATGACATCACATTTTCATGGCTGGCGAATTGCTCTAAAAGGCAAGTTCTAACGTGTTTGGCCTCAGGTGAGAAGAATGAGGCAGAGAAGAAACTTGTTTATTTATAGTCCCAAGTAATGCTTAATATTTAAAATGGCCTATAAAAGGAAGAAGAAATCAGTGCTTTCAGAATGACTTCAGCTCTGTCTGGTAAAGCTCTGCACAGAACTCGGAGAGTGAAAGGAACCTTGATTTTTATTGATTCCGTTTCAAATCCAGCCATGTATCTTTCAGTTTGACCACGATCGAAGACATCGAAGCAACAAGATGTTGAGAAATCAAAGAATGAATAATTCTATTCAAATAAGAGTTGATTCATGCATTTTGAAGTAGGCATTGCTTAACATTACTGCTGACAGAATACCTCCTCAAAGCCAAAAAGCAAAAAAAAAAGAAAAGAAAAAAGCCTCTCTTCTCTCTGAGTGGGAAGGGAAATGGAGGGCGGACCAGCAAGTAGGTCTGAACTGCTGTAGGTCACTCACCAGTGTGTCAAGGGAACGGTTAAAACAGGTGAACCTGGATCCAGTCTGGTAATGGTCCTCCCTGATTCCGAATCTCCCCCAGATGACACCAGTCACTTCTTTGGGAACCCAAATCTTAAAACTGATGTTGGCGTTTTTCAGCCTTCTTCATTGTCTGTCATAAAAATAAGGCAGAAGTATGGATGGCTCTGTAAAACCAAATGAAAGAGAATTTTATATGATTGTGATTACTGCTATGTGTATACACACTGAGTATCCTGTAAATGTACGTTATACATTATACACAAACAACTTATAATATTTTTTCTCAAAATACCTGCCATAAGGAAGAAAATGCCTATATTTAAAGCTTTTGTGTTGTGTTTTGAAACCATTACTTGTCAGCAGGTATAAAAACTATCTAGCCCTGCCTCTAATTGTAATTAAACGGATTCTACCTGAATTTGGTTCTTGAAGCGAGACAGAGGTATGACATCCAGTCCTAAAAATGATTAAAAGTTATCCAAATGGTAGCTATTGAATTTTTAGTTTGTAATATGTAGAATGTCATGTTAGAAGAACACTCTCCTGTATTCTAGCTCTGTCTTGTGTGAGATTGCTTAAATTACTGAGACTTCTGTCACCCTGACTCTTTTCAGTAATATCTGTATAATGCAGGAGTTTAAATTTTTAAATTTTCTTTGTTCTTGCATGGCTCTTCAATATTTAACAATCAGAATGATAGAAAAATAATAGATTACTTTAAAAATTAGCCTTAATAAAATTGAAATTTTCTATATACTCAGAACCAAAGCCTACTTATTATGTGTAAATGGATAATTCATTAACAAAAGGAGCTTGTTTGATTGTGGTGGTGGGGAAGCTGTTTCATCCATTACTTAGAAGACAATTTGTGAAGAAAAGGGAAAGGAAATACTATATTTCAATAGAAAATGTTATTCTTTATTCTAAGAAGGTAGATAGTACATAAATACAGAAAAAGAGTCACTACCAAGAGGATAACTGTGAAGTATATATCTTTTAAAGTCTGATTTAAAACAGTAATGTATAATTTTTTATTCAAAATAATAAAACTATACTTTTTATATATACATTCAGTTTACTGAAGTAACTTGATTTACATTCTAAATATGTTGGAGAGAATTTTGGAGTGCATTTAAATCTAGATTATCCTGAAGATTCATCCTTGTAAAAAGAATAAAATATTTTGCAACTCCTGTAAGTTTCTGTATCTGAGGATCATAAAATCTTTTATCAACCACAACTAATGAATCAAACCAGTTCTCCCCACCCGTACCCCACCAGCACTCCCAGGGGCTTATTAGAGTGAGTACTGAGAAAATAAATCAAGCTGCAGAAATCCAGATGAAAACTGAAAACCTGGGTCAGAACTTTGGCTGATTTAGAAGGCAACTGGTAGTGGAATACCTTAGTCATTGGAACACTTCTTCCGGTTGTAACTGTGCTATTTTTGTGCAGACTCCAGAAAATTAAGGTTTCCTTATTAGGTATTGTAAGAAGCTGGCTTTACCCACAATCAAACTCCAGCTTCTAAGAGACTAAAGCACATAAACTTTCCTTAGCATACAAATTTTCCTAACGTAGACATACCCTGTCTCTATCAATCATGTAAGAACAGAACACATGAATTTAGTTTCTGCTGTTGAATCCTCTGCAAAAATATGACATACTGATGTTTGAAAATAGCTAATACTGATGCAGTGTTGAAAAATGATATTAATGGGCCTTTCTTCTTGTATGAAAAGGAATGCACTATTTACATATGGAGGCTCCTGTCAAAGTGATTCACAGAGATCTCAAGTCAAGAAATGGTAATGTAGCATATGTTTTTATTTACCTATTTTATTATGAAATCCATGCACCTTGCTATAGAGATAGGCTCATGCTTTTCAGATCTTTTGTACCCTGATGTTTTAACCCGTCACTGATACCATGAAAATCTTTCCAGTGTTTGTAAATATCAAAATTCGTTATTTTATTTTAAGAAGCTGCATAGTATTCCATTGTATGAATAGCACAGAATGTGGACATTTGGGGTTGTTTACATTTTTTTCTATGATAGAAAATGTTGAGCTTGATACTTCTCAGCAAAAATTTTCAACACATCCTTAATTATTTCCCTAGAATAATTTTCTAAAAGAGATGTTGCTGGATCAAAGCATGTAGTCATACACTTCTAGTCTTCTATTTTTAGATGGTTCTCTGTACTAGCAGTTTTGAGTTTTGTTCTTGTTACTTCTGAATTATTTGGTGTAAACTTTTGATGTTCGTCATATTACCTGGAGTAGTGCCCAAAAATGATCAACACATTTCAGAGTTTGGAAAGCAAAGGCTTTCTTTTTCTTCTTTTCTTCTGTACTCTTCAAAGTTTATTTATGATCCTATATTTTATAATTTAGAAAGTGAGTAGGGGTACCTGGATGGTTCAGCCGGTTGAGCATCAGACTCTTGATTTCAGCTGAGGTCATGATCCCAGGGTTGTGGGATGGAGCCCCATGTCGGGCTTTACATTCAATAGGAGCTGCTTGAGATTTTCTCTCCCTCTGCCCCTCCCCGACTCTCTCTGAAAAATAAAAAAATAAATATAAAAAAAGAGAAAGTGAGCATTTAAAAATGACTGGCAGGATTAGACATTATTACCTTTAAGTAACAGAATGCTTCTTCTGTTACATCACTTGGAAGCTAATGGATAAAGGAGGGAGTGGGATTATTTAGCTGGCCCACACCAGCTGAAGTAAACCTTAGAGCTTGTTACTAAAAAGAAAAAATCTTGCTGTCAATCCATTTGCATGCTTTAATTATTTACATGCTTTCCAAATGATTCTTCTAAGTAGGGAGAACTATTTAATTTTTTAAAAATCTTTAAATCACTGTAGTTAAAATGGGTATATGCTACAAGGGCGATCCTTGCAATGGGTAGTTGGAGGAAGAGACAGACGCAGGGGATGGGCCAGGTGCCCTTGTTGGGACTCCAGGACTGTGAGGGTTGTTGCGGTGGAGAAAGGGAAGTTCTTGGCAGCTGCCACTCATCAGTAGTCCGGGTTGTACCCCAGGCTTGACCCTGACTGTTCTTTCCTTTGTCTAGGTCATCTCTTATCCTCTTATCCTTTGGCTCCTCACAGACAAACTTCCTAGAGCTAAGTACTTTTGAGAGGAGTTGGCTAACAGGAAGTTGTTAGGAAATCATTTCAATCCAGTAGGACATATCAGAGTCTTACGCCCATAGATTTTTAGTTCATGCTCAGAATTTCATGCTAACAAGTTATTTGACTTCTATTTTTTTTTAAATCTGCTTTATCAGTATATCCTGAACATATCATGAGATGACAGTGATTAAATTTTGGATTTGAAACTAATAACGGAGACTGTCCTGATTTTCACCAGTCACAATTTTTGCAGTTACTTGATGGGAAAACAACATACACATTGCAACAATATTGACCTAAGTTTTAGCAATTTTTTTCTGAAACAGGGAATAACAAGACTCTTTTATCTTCTATGTTATACCTTTTTATAATTTTGTTTTTTTTTTAATTAAGCACTTGTTGGGGCGCCTGGGTGGCGCAGTCGGTTAAGCATCCGACTTCAGCCAGGTCACGATCTCGCGGTCCGTGAGTTCGAGCCCCGCGTCGGGCTCTGGGCTGATGGCTCAGAGCCTGGAGCCTGTTTCCGATTCTGTGTCTCCTTCTCTCTCTCCCCCTCCCCCGTTCATGCTCTGTCTCTCTCTGTCCCAAAAATAAATAAACGTTGAAAAAAAAAAATTTAAGCACTTGCTAATCTTATGAGAAAAAAGTAATAGAGGTATTTTAAAGAGTAACTGAATGTGGCATTTAACTATATATATATATATATATATGTATGTATATGTATATATATATATGTGTATGGTATATATATTTTTTAAACTTATAGCTTGTATAAGATATCACATTTATCCTTAGGCTATCTCATGCAAAGAGTATTTTTCCCACTTATCAAGGTCATTAGTAACAGCTAGTAAGCATTGATCAGATACCATGTTGAGGGCTCTGTGTGGCTGACAAAAGAAATACCAGAACAGTTCTTCAAGGTCTGCCTTGGGCCTCCTTGCCTCTTATGCTCTTATTCACCCACTGCCATAAAAGTCCCATCTGTGTATTAATGCTCTTAACAGACCTCAGCCTCAGAATCACATGTCTGTCTGCTTTTTGGGAGTGGCCGCACAGATATTCGTATGACTCGAACATGTATTGTGTTCACGTTGATCTTTTCACCTCTCTACCCACTAAAAACTTATTCCCGCATTCCCTTTCTCTGTGAATGGCAGTACCAATTGCCTAACCTAGAAATGAGATAAAAAGGGACAGTTTGAGTGCAGAGCTCCTGTTGTAACCATTGTACTGTATTGCCTCTTTATTTGATTTCATCCTTGAGTCCTCCCTCCCCGCCCTGCGTCTCATCATTTAAGCCCAGCTGATTCTGCCTCCTAAATGTGCCTTGACTCGGTCCACGTCTCTCCTGTGGTATGCCGCGGCCTTTGTACAGGCATCCTACAACCGCTTGTGTGCACAGTGATCTCCTTGCCTCCAGTTCTGTTCTCCCATATGCTCTCCCCTCCGCACATTTGACCATTTCAGTTCTCTGGTTAAAATTGTTCAGTGGCCTTCCACGTCTCACAAAGACTCTTCCAGACCAGGCCCCTGCCTTCCAAAGCTGCGTGCCTTTCCCTCTGCTCCTGACCTTCTGCAAGGCTCTTTTTTCTAAGAATGTGCTTTCCCCCTGCGGTGCTCCTCTGTCTGCTTAATCCCAACTTGTTCTGCAGGTCTTCGTGTAAGCACCATTTCTTCCAAAAACTTCTCTCCGACTTCCTTAGACGTAGATACCCCTGCTCTTTGGTTCTGAGGCAATCTCTGTGTATCTCTCATCATAGAATTTATCCCACTTAATTATATACATTTTAAATTAAACATTTTAACTCCAGCATGATTAACATATGGTATTATATTAGCTTCAGGTGTCATCCCACTTGATTATAGATCATGGTTTCAGGGTCTCTCCCATTAGAGGGTAAGCTCCACAGAAGCAGAGACAAGCCAGTCTTGCTCATCTTCCTCTTCCAGAACATAGTACGTGGCCTTGCCCATAGTAGGTGCTCGGCAAATATTTGTTAAGTGAATGAATGTGTGAAAGAGTGAATGAATGAATTTTGTCCCTGCCTATAAGAAAATCACTCTTCAGTTGAGAGCAAAAACTATATACCATGAAGTGATAGTGCTGATGCCTTCCTCAATATCATGCTGGCAGTCTAGTGGCAGAACCCAAGTAAAAAGTTTGGTTCTCTCTACAACTATTAATGCATGCCCTGTTTACTGGACAGTATGACATTTGGTTTAAACAAATGTTTTGAAAACCTTTAATCAGCAGCTCAAGGAATTCGTTTTTTGGTTTTGTTTTAATGTCAGCTTTTTGCAAAATCTTCAATGTAGTAAATACTTCAGTTTTACCTTTCACGTGCTATATGGAAGATAGAAGTTTATGGCAGTTTTTTCTTTCAGTATAAGATGACTCAAATTAGATGATTATCATAATTTTTCTTTCTTTTTTTTTTAGTTGTTATAGCTGCTGATGGGGTATTGAAGGTAGGACTGTTTCTTTTAATTTTCTTCAAAAGTATTTCTAAACTTCAGATGTAGGTTTTTGTGACTGATAATTCTTTTATTCATCAGTAGTAGAAGGTTGATACTTGTTTCTCTCTTCTCAGATATGCGATTTTGGTGCCTCTCGGTTCCATAACCATACAACACACATGTCCTTGGTTGGAACTTTCCCATGGATGGCCCCAGAAGTTATCCAGAGTCTCCCTGTGTCTGAAACTTGTGACACGTATTCCTATGGTGTGGTGAGTTCATTTCTCATCTTTTGTTGCCCAAGGAAATACAAAAAGCAAACACCTACATTGGGGGATACAGCAATTTAACACAGCTTTACGGCAGTGATGCCGTTTCCTGGTGGGATGCCTGGAGCAGTGGCCGATCCAGTCTCGGGGACGTTTCCTGTGATCACTTTTATTGTGTCCTGTGTTGAGAAGAAACCAGTGCTGCTTCCAAACAGCGAATTGGATGGACCCTGAAGTCACATCGGGCCTGACGCACTCCTGGGAAGAGTGCTGTCCTGGGCTGGACATGTGACTGTGCAATGTCTGTGTAAGTCAGTGGGAACGTGGGTCATTTGGAACGGGACTTCATTGTAATAAGTTACTCAGAACACACCAATACATCTGCCACATGATTTCATTAACAGGAGATGTTTGAATGTCAACTTTAAGCTGACTGGTGAGTGTCTGGAGAGTATAGAAGGAAAAGTATAGCTTTTAGCACGTGGCCTTGCCCATGTCTGCTGCGAGTCTTATAAAGTAGCGTGAGTCTCTGAAACATGAATCGAAGGTATCGTGTAAAAGTCACAACTTAGCAGCACAGTTACGAGACTAGAATGTGGGGGTAGGGGATGCTCAGGGAATGGAGACCACAGGAAAGGATCCCTTAAGGAGCAGAAGCTTTTGGAGGAGGAGTTTTGAGGTGGATCATTCTTGAGGAATAAGCAGAGAGAAAGAAGTAAGTGCAATAGGGAGACCGGTGGGATGAGAGGCGAAGATGAGCAAGGTGATTCTTTGGCAGTAGAAGGAATTCATTTGTTGCTTGGTTTTGTTTTGTTTTGTTTTGTTTTGTTTTTAATTAATTTTATTTTGAGAGAGAAAGAGAGTGAGAGGGGCAGAGAGAGAAGGAGAAAGAGAATCCCAAGCAGACTCTGCGCTGTCAGCACAGAGCCCTACGTGGAGCTCAAACCCACGAACCGTGAGATCATGACCTGAGCCGAAGTCGGTCTCTCAACCAGCTGTGCCACCCAGGCACACTCCTGTTGCCCCTTTTTAAAGATAAGCTTTTTTTAATCCCTAACAATACTGTGTATCTCTTAAAAAGTCTAAAATAGTATTTGTAACTCATTCTCTTTGGGTCTCACCCCTAATTGTAGTGCCTTTATATTTATATTATTACTCTTAAAAGGACATTTTCATAATAAGAAAAGCAGCAGACTAATTTTGGCCCAAATCAACATGGCTCTTCTTCCCAAACTTCTATGATTTCAATTGCGAGTGACAGCTGACGGCCCAGGAGGAGACCAGCATTGTTGAATGTATTCCTTTCGAGGCCACCAGTCTTTCGAGAGTCTTTCGAGGCCATCAGTCTCTAAATATTTACTGCTGGCTTCATTACTTAAGTTTTGGGCTTGTTTTCATTGGTAAGCTTTTTCTAAATTATAATACATCTTATGTACACCAAATTTATTTAATATAATAGAAATTAATTTTGTTGGCTATTGGAAAAAGCCTTTACAAGAATGAAATACATGTTTTTGGCAAAAGGCTAGAATTTTAAAGGCTGGAAGACAACAGTTGCTTCAGGCTAAATATCTCATTTCCTATAATTCTGGGTGTTTTTAAGGATGAAGGCTATAGGGGCCGCGTGGGTGGCTTAGTCAATGAGGCGTCTGACTTTGGCTCAGGTCATGATCTCGTGGCTCATGGGTTCAGGGCCCTGCATTGGCCTCTGTGCTGACAGAGCAGAACCTGGAGCCTGCTTTGGATTCTGTGTCTCCCTCTCTCTCTGCCCCACCCGTGCGTTTGCTTGTGCGCTCCCTCTCTCTCTCTCTCTCTCTCTCTCTCAAAAAGAAACATTAAAAGAAAAAAAAAACTAAAAAAAAAAAGGATGAAGGCTATAAACTATTATAGACAGTGACCAAATAAGTCTCAGTGAAAGATGAGGAAAAAAACATAAGTTCCTAAAGACACTAGATTCTAAAAGTGGTTCCCTGTGTCAAAAATTATTACATTCTGACCATCCTCCAAATCATCTGCTGGGGAGCCTGAAAATGAGGGAATTGGTTGCAATTTCAGACTTTTTGTGAGATTATTTTCTCTTAGGAAGTTCTGTTCCTTTGTTTTTAAGCAATAATGTATTTTTTTGGTGCGTCAGGCGCTGTGCTAGGCACTAACATCGGGTAGTTTAAATTGTATTTCGCCAGTCTGTTGCTCATCCTGTGGAACAGGAGCCAGCAAACTTTTCCTGTAAAGCACCTGATAGTAAATATTTTAGACTTTAAGGGCCACTAATAATCTCTACTGTGTATACTTTTGGTTTTTTACAGCCTTTGACAAATGTTAAAAGCACTCTGCGTTGTGCAGCGGGCCATGGTTCATTCACAGACTCCTCTGTGGAGCAGGAGGGAGGGGAAGGGGAGCACCACGGCTGGGATGGTTCGTAGAGAGTCATGTGTATACAGACATACACACACGTTTATGTGGTTATAGTTTTTAAATTCTTTTTGCACATTTATATGAACTGGAAGACTTTTGAGGCTCATTTTTACACTCCCCAAGCTCTTGTACAGCACTTTTACTTTTAAAATTCTCCCAAGTCTGGGACTTTCCCTATCTCAGAAATGTTTGCTCTGAAAGACAACTCTGAGTTACCTACAGAATGAATTTTTGGTTTCAGTGTTATGAAACATTTATGAAAACAAATCTCACACCACCTCCCTCCAAAACCTTACAGTTGCCAGGGGCTTTTGTGTGAAATGCACCCACTGCGTTTCCTGAGCTGAGACAGAATCTCGGTTCCAGTAACCAAGAATCTGTTCATTTTCACACGCAAACTATCAACGATGGTGGTGACTTCTGTTTGCCGTGCTTAAGGATTTTTTCCTATATCTTTTTTTTTTTTTTAATTTTTTTTTTTCAATGTTGATTTATTTTTGGGACAGAGAGAGACAGAGCATGAACGGGGGAGGGGCAGAGAGAGAGGGAGACACAGAATCGGAAACAGGCTCCAGGCTCTGAGCCATCAGCCCAGAGCCCGACGCGGGGCTCGAACTCACGGACCGCGAGATCGTGACCTGGCTGAAGTCGGACGCTTAACCGACTGCGCCACCCAGGCACCCCTTCCTATATCTTTTTAAATCCCTTTCACTCATTCCTCATTGATCCCCTCATGTTACCCATAGTTTGAATCAACCTTTCTGAGTCTGCAAATGTTGTTTACTTTATTAAAAAGCTTTTCCTTCAGGTGATTGCTCACTGCTTTTTTAGTAGGTGGGCCTGAACATTTCTCTTGGCGAATAAAGGTTTCTGTGTACTTGTTTACAGATCCTTCCTTTGTTTTGTTCTGAGGAACTTAACAAATTGCTTAACAGATCATTCTATCAAGTAATTTATAGCATGCCTGATAGCCAGTCGCTGAACATTTCCAGTGTTGCTCTATATTTACACACCAGATGCTTCACCTTAGAACCCATGTGCCCCAGTCACATGCTGCTGAATATCCACTCTGCGTTCATGATAGAGACTTCTTTTGACTGGTGGAAACTAAAACAGTATCTTAGAGAGGTTTACTTAGAACTCTGGTTATCCTTACCCATAGCTTTATCAACAAAATTCCATTCAGAAAATTGCACATACACTAACTTAAGTATAAATGAGAATTCAAGATTTTATTTAATTCCAACCTATTCCCATTCTGTTCTTGATAAACACCATTTAGTAAAAGAAATAGTACAAGGCATGCTCCTCAGAGTTTTTTGCTTAAGCAATCATAGCATTTTTAAAAAATGAAGAAAACATTACATGGTCAAAGTAGGTATTACCTAAAAGAGCAGTAGCGAATGGTTGTTAAGGTAGGGGCATGTTGGTTTTAGAAGTTTGTAATGCATAGACTTTGAAAGAGAGACCTACCTAGGAAAGCAAGGTGGTTGCTTATTTAGAACTTCTGATCTCCTTTCAAAAATGAGTGAGTAGCTAGAACCACTTGTCATTGAAGTATCTCTTTGCATAGAACAGAATTCCCATAGCTCATTGAAAATCCATCCTGGTCATTGAGCCCCGACACACATACATACATCGCAGTCACATACAGATGAGTAAGACCATAATAAAAGACTTGTCCTTTTTTGAAATCCACCTCAAAAAAAAAAAAAAAAACCTAATATGTTTTTGCTTTTCATGTTTCTATTTTTTTCAGACTTGCTACAATAACAGTCCCCAGTATCGTCCAAGTCCCTGGCCCTCCGTAGCTTGATAAACCTGTGTGGCTTCTTAGCACATGGCAACACTAACAGCCTGGTACAGCCTTAAAAATAAATGTGACACAAATCCCCGAAATGGATCTTGTGGTCCTTGCTTCTAAGCTGACAGACTCTGCTAGGCAGGCGATTGTTTCTGTCTCCATTTTACAAGAAAGGAGATTGTGCTACCCCCTTAGGGTGATTTCTCTTGAAGGACCAAACCAGAGGAGTGTGTAGTATGTTATCCACAAAAAAGAAAAGGCTGGAGGAAACCAAAAATCATTGAAAGAATAAGCCTTCTGAGAACACAAGGCCTCGCCACTCTTTAGAAACAAAGCTCTCCTAATGACAATGCAGACAGGATTAGCTTCTCAGAAGCTTCTGAGCCAGAACCACTATTTGAAAATAGAGTGGCTTAAGAGGGAGCATCACTGCCTCACTTGTCTATGAGCCCCGTTCCAGAACCAACCCGGCTCAGGTAATGGCTTTCCATTGTTTGTAAAAGAAAAGGCAGGAAAAGTACACAGCCTTGTCCAAGTTTCTCTGCAAGCTGAAAATAGAAAATTTTCCTTGTGAGCACAATTTAAACGTGAGCACGTCTCAGTATAGAATGAGTTGGAAAGTATTTTTAAGGGGAAAGATCACAATAATGTTTGGCCTGCATCCCCATCACTGGTATTTTCAGGCATAGTTTAATATATTTTTAGACCTCCAAATGACTTCCTCCACAAAGGACTTTTTTGTGCCAAACGTCATCGTGTTTCATGTAGAAACAGCTGTTGTCCTATATCATACCACCTATGTTTTGATACACGCCTACACCTGGTGAATTAGTAACAGGGCATCGCGGCAGGTGCTGGTGCTGGACTTCACCTAAAGAGCCCAGCGGCTCACAGTGCCCTGTCCAGATCACACACGTGTGTGGCTGTCACAGGGACCCTCAGCTGCAGGAGCATGTCTGAGATACAGAGAGGGACTAAAATGAAACTCTTATGTTTCCAGTGTTAGAATTCTTGGAGAAATAGAACTCAGATCTTTGTAGATTTTGGCTATTTTCCAACTGAATATTTTGGAACAGAGAATGACAGAAATCTTTTCCTGTATTACTTCCCAAGCTCTTGGTTTTGCATTTTACCTCATACAACGCAGTCAGCCTTCACGTGTGCGCCTGTGCAATGGGTTGTGCGTGCAGGCCACACTCAGAAAACGGGATGCAAGGCCACTTACCTCGACATTTGGGGTTGATTCACTGTACTCTTTCTCCTGAAGAAGGCCAAATCCTTCCATTTGCTTGCTGTTCATATCCCTTCCCCTCCACAATCCTAGCATCAGGGGAGTGGTAATTGCACTGAATGGAGGGGCTTCATTTCCTGTTCGTCTCCCTCCCCTGTGCAGGCGGGGTCCCAGGGGTGATTGCATACCTGTTCTGGTCTTCCTCAGCTTCCTTTACTTATAGTGCTTACTAGAATCATCCCCTTCCGGGATGCCCCTTACCTTTTCCTAATCACTTCTGTGACTCAAATAGAATTATTCAGCAGCTCTTCTAAAGAAGCACCTTACACACTTGATTAAAAGCCGAAAGAGGCTGCAGCGAATTTTTTTTCTCCTGCTTGAGCAGCATCTGCCGATTTCCCTGATTTTCCTGCTAATTATCTTCGTATTAGCCGGAGTTCATTTAACACGTTCTGATTCAAATATGACCGAGCGCTGGCTGAGGGAGCAGTGGATATAGAGTTAAAGGTTTGTAGGACCTGCTTGAATAGATGTCCTCAGTCAACATTCTTATTTAGAAATGGCTTTTGTTTTGTTTTTAGGACAAGAGAAATCTAAATCAAAACCGAATTCATTTGCTTCTCACCTCTGCCATGGCTCCACACCTGCACTATGACTTGTCACATTCTCTCTCATACTGCAGCCTTCTCTTCTCTAGAGTTTGTCAGGTTAAGAGCTTGGCCTTTAGGGCAAGGCAGCAAGTGCCAATTGATAGCAGAGTGTCTTTCGGCAAGTTTAATTTAACTTTCTTAGGCCTTAGTTTCCTCATCTGTAAAATGAGGATAATATCTGTTCGATGGGGTTGATATTAATCATGGTAACATGTGTAAAGGGTTCAACAGAGCATCTGGAACATAGTCACTCAATAAGTGATAGTGGTGGTTATGGTGATTTATGGGTAAAATTGTAATTGTGTTTGCACTTCACCGAATGTTGATAGACTGATTTTGATGCTCATTTGTATAGAGAAGTCACCTGAATATAAAAATCTCCATTACTTAGTATTTTAAATGAAACCCAAAATATTGGCAGTTTTCAGCATTCCCAGCTTCAGTTTGCTTTCTTTGGGCATTCCAGTGCAGATTTATTAGTCATGCTGATCTCAAGGATTGTGGAGAGATGAACATACACATAAATTCACATACACACACACACACACACACACACACACACACACACACACTCAGCCTATACTTATGAACATAAAGTATTTATTACATTTTAGAATATATAATAAATGATGTTATGGGGGAAGAAAATTAATATCTTTGACCGACTTACTTTGAGAGCGCTTTCTCCAAAAACACAAAATTTAAATGTTACAGTTTTTGCAAGCACCTATTATTATGGGGTGAAGGGTTTAGCCAGTGATTCGGATTTAGAGCTCAATTTTTCTTTTATCAGACCATTACTGAACCTTTAAAACTACAGTTGAATTCCCAGTTATTATCTTATGGAGAAATTTATCGGCAATTGAAGGTGGAAAGAGTTTGACCAACAAAATGTAAAATCTAATTTGTGGGAATCTGTGAGAATTCTCGTAACTTACAAGATAAATTATGTAGGCCCATTGGTTTCATAAAATTTTAAGTCTGGCTCTAAATGTTCTGATTTCTAGTTTTTTTTTTCTTTATAAAAATGAACAAAAAATGTATGTATATGTTTATATGTATATGTGTGTGTGTATATATATATATATATATATGAATATATACATTTTGCACAAGTTTCTACAGGTGGGGTTGGTTTTTGTCTGGTAATTGGATACAGTTAAATGTTAGATAAAGTTTCAGTAAAACACCAAAAATATAAAGTACAAGAATAAAAATTCCATTTTCTTTTTGTTCCAGGTTCTCTGGGAGATGCTAACAAGGGAGGTCCCCTTTAAAGGTTTGGAAGGATTACAAGTAGCTTGGCTTGTAGTGGAAAAAAACGAGGTAAGACTACGATTCTCCATTCAGGTACATAGATCAGAAAACAGTATTGGGGTTTTGCAAAAGACTTTTTCATCTTCTTCAAATTGAAAGTAAGTTCACGCTTATGGAAAGATTAGCAGTAGGAGCTAACACAAAGGGTCAAAGTGATGTTATTCCTCATGAATGGACCCTTTACATCTAATTGTTGCAGCTTCACGTCGTGATGCTGTAGATCAAAAATTGTACAAGTACTGTACTAGTTTCTCAGTCTCAATTGTAAAACCTAGGGGTTTGTTCTTAGTGATGAAAGAAGCCATTGCGTCCAAGGTAGGGGAACAGTTTAACTCCATCTCCTGCGTTTAGGACATCTTTTTTACTGGCCGGGAGTTGATATATCTGTAAGAGACCTTCAGCTACTTCAACTTACCTCTCCCAGCAGGAGTCACTATAGTACAAGAAACTGTCGCTTAGATGAGAATTTCAAAAATAAAAGAAGAAAAAATAGTTTCAAAAAAGGGAAAAATTACAGTTTTGCCACCTACGTTGAACACTACATTGAAGATGAGCTCCTCACTGGAATTGGCGAGGCAGTGGCATAACTGTTCCCTTCTTCATGCAGAGCCTTTCCATTTCAAAAGAACTTCAGTGGCGTAAACACCGTTTGTGCTGTGTCCCCAGCCTCGCTTTTCTTCTTCCCACAAATTGAGGCTTTCAGTTAGTTGGACCTATGAGCCTACATCAGAGAACGTGGTACATTCATATCAAAGAGAGCAACTACATTTTGAAAGGTTTAAAATTGTGACTGAAATGCACAGGCATGGAAATCCTCAGCATAAGGATGAAGCATCCAATATCAAGGTACTAGGAGAACTTAGATCAAGTAATGGAAGCATGCAGTTGTCTTTGCAATGCAAAACAACCTTATTTCACAAACCTTCATTTCCAGACCTTATCTGTGCCCTCCACAGAAGGTAAGAGTGTAACCTTAGCATAAAATAATTTGCAAAAAGGTTGACTGTATAGAGATATTCCTTTTTTCATGCTTTAAAAGAATTGGATTGATTTGCTCCCCATGTGAGTGCAGGAACAGACTAGATTAACCAAAAAGCTGCTATTGACTAAGAGAAACCATGTTTCCATAGTTTAGATCACATAATCCAGCTACCTTATTAATTTGTCCTCCTGAGCTATTGAGAGCGGATGAAATGTTCATGATAGCTGAACTTGATGGGAGAGAGCTGCCAATTTAAGAAAAAGGAAAAGGAGTTATATTCAAGAACGTGTCTTGCTCAGTGTTTCACAGGAGCTGTTCTGTTTTAATTAAATGTCATGGTTATTCCTGGTGTGCTATTAAATCAGACCTGGTACATAGAATAAATGATATTTTCATGATAGAAGAACCCACTTGTTTCTGTTCAGTTTCTTTTGCCAGTGAGGTGATCAGATGTTTGGTTCTGGGGTGACAAATGAGAGGGAAGAAAATTATTGACCCAATGTTGACTTTGGAGCAGAACACTCCATGTAATTTGTTTCCCTCTATGTTGTTCCAAGATAAACTAGAAGAAAGTTTTTTAAAAGCCAACTGGGCCCTCCAAATATGTCTAAGAAAAACGAATTAATATTTAAAAATAGTACTTCATCTAAAGGATGGCAGAAGAGGTGTGAATCTGAAGCACTTTCAAAACATTGGAGTATCTCTCAAGGATTATTAAAGCTGTTGAGAAAAATGAATTTAGAAACTGCCTTTGGATAGCAGGCTTGAGGGCTGGGAATCACCCATAATCTTCAGAACCTCCCCACCATGTACAGGGAAGAGGCTATCTCCCCCCTTTCCCTGAAGGATTCCCTAGAGTAGGTTGTACTGTTTTATCCATGGTGTACATGATGGCCAGCTAATAACTGACGGAGACTACTCAGACCCCTCCCATTCTGGACATAGAATAGCAAATTGAAAGACCCCCCCCCCCACCACGGTGACACAAGTTTTCCCAACTTTCCACTGAACTTGAGGAAATTTGGGTATTATGAAGATATTTCTCTCTCTACTCTCATTCTACATATTTATTTGTCAAAAATATGGCAGTTTAGCTGTAAATTCCATTGTCATCATTCGGGAAGGAGTCTTCATTTCATCTCATAAACGTAGACACTTATTACCAAAACAAATTCTACTGACATAACATTAAAATAATTGCCAAGTCTCAACTGGCAGTTTGTAGAGAACAAACTGAGGGTTGCTGGAGGAGGGGATGGGTTACACGGGTGATGGGTATTAAGGAGGGCGCTTGTTGTGATGAGCTCCAGGTGTTAGCACGTAAGTGTTGAATCACTAAATCCTATACCTGAAACTAATAGTACACTGTATGTTAACTACCTGGGACTTGACTTAAAGCATGAAAAAAAATTGCCAAGGATTTATTTAATTTCATAATAAAATCGAGACTTTGATTTAAATGTAATTTCCAAAATCCTTTCAACTTCTAATTATTTTAGTTCACTTATTTTTACTTTGGAATATCTTGGGTTCTTGAGTTGAAAAGAGCAAGCTGTATTTTTTTTTTTTTTTAAACAGGCCTCATTTAAGTAAAGAATGATGTGTTTAAACTTAGCGAGACACTTTAAATGTAAGCTACTCATGCTAGAATGCACCTATATTCAAATATTAGAATTGTCTTTTCTTTTTAACTTTTATTTTGAAATAATCATAGACTCACAGTAAGTTGCAAAAATATTAGAAGGGATTCTGTGTATCCTTCACCCAGCTTCTACCACTGGTGAGATACAGGTGTAGGCCAATACCAAAACCAAAAAGTTGACATTGATACATTACTCTCAACTAGACTCTAGACCTTATTTAGTTTCACCATTTAGGACTGCTTTTTGGATCCGTAGGAAGATCAATACTTTCTAAAAATATCTGAAGGTCTTTGCTTCTAAGTGCTTAATAATGAAATAAGGCCTTCAAACAATTTTTCCTAATATTAAATCCTATTAAAACTAGATACATAAAGCACTGTTAAAGCAAACAGTGAATCCTTACAGAAGTCCTGAAAGTAGGAGGGTATTGCTAGTAAATTTCATAATTCTTCCAGACATGTATGTTTGCCTTTGTTATTTCCATAAAACTCAATTAGTGGTCATTCAGAATATTCTAGCAGGATAATTTCTATCTTTACAAGTACTTAGATTCTTACAAAATGTGTTTTGTTCTTAGTAGCAAAGCTACTATTCTTAATAGAAATCCTCAAAAAGCTTAATCCATTGTTGACTATACTTTAGAAAAAGATAAATTATTAAGAGTAATTTTTTGCATCTTATGTAGAAAATGGTGCAAAAAGGAGTATGACCTTTAAAAAATGTCATGCATAACTTAGTGTTTGGGAAATATTTTAATTTAAATTTGAAACGTTTAAAATCTTGCCATTTTGAAGTGTTGCAAATCTATTGCTAATATTCTGGCCATTTCAGGATGTTTTAATGCAGTAGGAATACCCACACTTAGGTAATCAGGACTTAAATGCTTTGGATTCCCTTTTAAAGTACTTTATATATATATATTTTTTAAATACTTTTTGACGCACCAAAATAATCCCTTACATTAGCGCGTGAGTTTAGATTTAGTTGATATTTGACCATATCAGATAACTTAAAATAATTATATCTTATTTCATAATGTCTCAAGATTCAGTAGCTAAAAAGTTTTTCAGTGAGAAAAGATGACAGAAAATTAACATCCATATTCATCCAGGTCACATTTCAGTTCTTAGAAAAAATGTGAGAAAGTTATATTGAAAATGTTACCTTTTATGAGAAATTTTTTTGCCATGGAGTGGATTCAGCTGAATAGTTGCGATCACTTCGTTTTTCTTAGTTGCTACTCCCAACCAGCCATCATATGTATGTGTGTGTATGTGTGTGTGTGTGTGTTTAAGTAAACACCCGATTTTCCTTTTGATCTTCATCAAAAGGTTTCCAGTAAAATAGGAGTACGGTTTACCATATATTACAGTAAAATAAGAGTGCAGGTTACTACATCTCCTCTGTTCTATGTAATCAATTAAAAAGATGTTTAGCATACCTTTAACTTGGAGAGGGCTGTTTTGTTTAAAACTTGGTTATAAGGTTTTATTTTGGTTTATTTTGATTTTAAGGTTATCTGTAATTCTAAATATAGATCATCTGTTTTCCTGCCAGAATAATTCTTTTTCTAGTTTTATACACAATCTCCCCCAAATCCAAATAAATTCAGTTTAAGCTTTTTATTTACAAAGCTTCTTCAGTAAACAATACTGTGGAATAAATCTCAGTACTTCTTAGTGCAGCAGTTCTCAACTCACACCCAGCGCTCTTTTGATAACAACCCTGTTAATGGTCCCTCTACTTCCCTGAAATGAAATTCAGAGGTAGTGCAACCTACCCATTATACACATTATATTTTAAAGTTAACATAATGCTCTAACTGTAATAAAGAAGAAATCGATGAAAAAGGTATTGCAATGTATAAATGCACAGGCATGGCCACAAGAGAGGAGAGTGTGGAACAATTTTAGATGCTTGTCCCGGGGCGCCTGGGTGGCGCAGTCGGTTAAGCATCCGACTTCAGCCAGGTCACGATCTCGCGGTCCGTAAGTTCGAGCCCCGCGTCGGGCTCTGGGCTGATGGCTCAGAGCCTGGAGCCTCTTTCCGATTCTGTGTCTCCCTCTCTCTCTGCCCCTCCCCCATTCATGTTCTGCCTCTCTCTGTCCCAAAAATAAATAAACGTTGAAAAAAAAAAAAATTAGATGCTTGTCCCTGCAGGTAAATAGGATTCAACAGCTACACATGCAGAGTCGAGCTGAATTGTATCAGTGATTCCAGCAGCATGAGCAATGCTGTTGCAGGTGATGTTTTCCAAACATCTCGGTAAGGTTATGAGTACTGCAAAGATCAGTCTGCCCTTGATTTATCTTATTTAGTAGTTGCATTCTTAATTCATTGTATTTTAAAACTGCTCAAAAAATGTGTTTATAAATCCAAGAGAGAGTCTGAGGTCAGAAAATGATAAACCTTGTTGTTTGCACCCGGAGCATCTGGAGTTTAGTGGAGTATGAGGGAGTACTTAATCAGGGATTTACAACACAGTGAAGGATGTCTAGTACTCTTGACCCATGCCAGGTGCAGCCCTCCAGTCTTTAAAACAAACAAAAAATGCCTCTGCAGATCTCTAGAGAGCCTCCAGGGACATCGCAAGTCTAGAGAACCACTTGTATAAAATGTTGGAACGGGACTGATCCTCACATTATAATCCCTGTTGTGTCCAGTCCCTGCGGTTTACCCGTAAGGGGTCATACATTCAGGACATCCTCTTTGGGGGTGCCTGGGTGGCTCAGTTGGTTGAGCGTCCAACTTCAGCTCAGGTCATGATCTCGCGGTCCATGAGTTCGAGCCCCGCGTTGGGCTCTGTGCTGACAGCTCAGAGCCTGGAGCCTGTTTCGGATTCTGTGTCTCCCTCTCTCTGACCCTCCCCCGTTCATGGTGTGTCTCTCTCTGTCTCAAAAATAAATAAACGTTAAAAAAAAAAAAGAAAAAGAAAAAACAGAATATCCTCTTTGCTGATGAGAAAAGGCACACTTCTTTAAAATTCTCTCTTTGACGGTCTCTGCAGAAGATGCTTTCAGAGTTGTACACCTCCTGCCAGAGCCAAGCTGGTTGCCTGGCTGCCGGACCTGTCTGCAGATTTCGTAGTTGTCTATGAAAGAATGGTGATAGGTTTGTGGTTTTACAGTGTGTATTTCTGTTCCCCCTTGCCCCTGTCCTACTGTAGTTTCTTTTAGACTTGTGTCTAGGTTTTTTTGGATTTGTTGTGCTGAATCCAACTTCTCCATCCACTTGGATACCGTTTTGGAAGAAAAGTAGCATCAGTGTCTTTAGAGATTAGATATTATGAATCTAAACGTAAATTCTTACTTGCCATGTATCAATCAATGGAAGTTTTAAAGTTAATGACTTATTTATGCTCTTAAATTAACTTTTATGACCTTTCAGTATTTGCTTACCTTAATGAGTCAATCCTTGTGTTGTTTTTCCTTTCTCTGTGGTAGAGATTAACCATTCCAAGCAGTTGCCCCAGAAGTTTTGCTGAGCTGTTACGTCAGTGTTGGGAAGCTGATGCCAAGGTATATAAATAAATATTCTTTTGGTCGTTGTTCAGAATTCTGAAATTTCACGCATTTTCTTGGTTTTGAGTTTCTAAAACTTGGAGTAATAAGATTCCTTACAAAGCAAGCTGAATTGCTGCTTCTGTGAGTCCCGGATGGACTGTAAAGGCTTTCTGTTGATATCTGTTCATCTTGATCCTTAGACACTCATTACTGGCTTTCTTACAGCATTCTGGCACTCTTGACTCAATGGAAAGAATTGCATTCCTTTGTTTTTAATCTCTAATAATAAGTATTGCACTTTCATGTTATAAAAATGGCTAGCACACAGTGCTCATTATATGCCAGGCACTGCTCCAAGCACTTTATGCACATTTGCTCATTTGTTCCTTAGAATACCTCTATGAAATAGGTTGTGTTATGACACTCATTTTACAGATGAAGGGTCAAGGCACACAGAAGGTAAGTAATGCTCAAGGCCACAGGTTAGTACATGGTGAGACTGGAGAAGGAACCCAAGCAGTCTGAACCAAAGACCAGGCAAAAGTAGCACTTCTAGAGAAACTAGATTAGTGATGTTTTTTAAGCTATCACAATAGAGTTGGAGACATTCCAGAATGTAGACTTTCATGTGGTTATCACATTTGAGCATGAAGGCCCATTTCCTTTCCCTGCAAAGATCATTTTAAAAGACTCTCACATACATACGGAAATATTTATAGATAAAATGATAGGCGAGTCTTGGAGTTGCTTCAAAATAAAGTGAAAGGAAATAGATGGTGGTGTAGATTAAACAAGATTGGCCATAGATAATTTTTGAAGCCACGTGATAGGTATATGGAGGCTTGTTATGTTGTTCTGCGTTTGTATATGTTTGTAATTTTTCATATTAAAAAGTTAGAAAGTAAAACAACGTCACAGAAGAGAAAGACTCAAGAGAGGAACTAATCTTATAGTTCGAATTTGCCCACTCTGTCACTGAAATCTATTGCGAACTGACTTTTAAACAGATCTAAGACTTAAGAATGGAATTTCTTCCTTAAACTCCGTTCCAATCTGGCCCAGGAAGAATGCATGATGGTAACACAGTCTGTTCTATAGCATGTGTTTCTCTAGTGGGAATAATGCATAAACCACCGGTAAGTCTGAGAAACATGTTCGTGTAACACAGAATTCATGCTGAGTCATACCTGTTACCTAGCACGTCGACCCACACCATCAAGTGAGAACAGCTCAACACCAAGTACAGTTTGCAGAGCAGCAAGGGACAGAGATCTGTGAGGCGCCTCCGCCCACGTGCTCCCTCGTGGCTGGATGGCTGCGCTTTGTCTTGGAGGAGTTTGTGGCTGGGTCTTCCCTGACTTGTACATGTCCCCTTGGCCCTGGTAACCAGCAACCTCAATTTTCGCTTTCACTCCTGTTCATCAAACTATCTTCACCCTCTTTAAAAGGAGAATCTTTTATTGACTTCGTAATGTTTTTTATTAATGAATTTAGGGGCGCCTGAGTGGCTCAGTTGGTTGAGCGTCCAACTTCAGCTCAGGTCATGATCTCACGGTTCGTGAGTTCGAGCCCCGTGTCAGGCTCTGTGCTGACAGCTCAGAGCCTGGAGCCTGCTTCGGATTCTGTCTCCTTCTCTCTCTGCCCCTCCCTTGTGCTCTGTCTCTCAAAAATAAATTAAAAAATGTAAAACAAAAAAAATTAATTAAAAAAAAGAATTTAACATTTAAAAAATTCTGTTACTATTTTTATTTACTATGATTGTTTTTATTAGTATTCTGTGACAAAGCTGTATAGGTTTGGAATGGTCTGCCCCGCCTCTGTTTGCAGAATATGGGGTTTTGAAGCACTAAGAGAAATGCCTGCACTTTGCAGCTAATCCAGTAGAAAATGTAAGCAGCTATTTGCAAGTTTGCTCTAGAACATATATATTTTTTTAATGCTATCATACCACCTTTTCCATACTCTACCAGTTACACGTCCATTGTGGCATGTATAGTCATTTTGGTGGTATTTTTCTCTCTGATACTTAAATAAAAATTTTACCTGAAATTATTTGCATTGAATTCGATTAACACAACTAAATCTCTATAACTGCAATTATATCTCAGTATGCAAAGCAGGTTTTGAATTTCTTAATCGGAAGCTCCGTACTTCAGTAATTAAAATTCTAAGAATATACATTTTGGTGCATTAATGAAATGGTAGTGTAAACACCTAACACAGGAAGGACATCAGGCCCGGTGAAGCCATCAAGTTGGCATGTCTTTAACATGTAGCCAGCTTACCCTTCTTTAGCACGAGAGGAGTCTTGTATTCTAGCCAGGTGGAGTATAAAGTTTAAGACTGATTTTATTTCCTACATTCAAGGCATTTTATTCTGATACAACTAATACATTCCTTCTGTATTTCATTGTACATCCAGCTGCGGCCCATGCTTCCAGCTCTCATGGTTGATCTCCAGCCATACCTTCCACACATCCCTTCCCTGGGCGTGCCCTCCTGTTTTCTTTCTTCCTTTGATTACTTCAACATCAAGCCCTCCCTGACTATTCTGTTTACTGCAGCCCATACTTGGTACTCCTGTTCCTAAACCACAATCTGGGCTAAGGCCTTACCTTTTGCTGTTGTATTTTTTAAAATCTCTTTTCTAAGTGGACTGCTGTCTCTTTGAGGGCACAGTGCTACCTTTGGCACCTTTGCACACATTTAGTAAATGGGTGCCCAACGTGTTAACTCAAGTAGCCAGACCAAGGCACATTTTAGCTCTCTGGCTAGAAGTCTGTAGCAATTCAGCCAGAAGTTGATGCCACTCCTGTGCACATATATAGAGCCATGACTGGTTACAAACCTTTCCTTTTTTTCCCAGCCTTTATGCTTTAAAGACATAGATAAAAAAAATATTCAGCTCACCTGTAGAAAAATGTTCTTTTGCAATGAGGAGGCGAAAGAGAATACAAGAGAAAGCTATTAGGTAAATGTCAAGTCATGCCAATGGCTTACACCAGGTGCTCAAAGTAGTTTATCAAAGAAAAAAAGAAGTAAAGGTGGGTAGTTTCCAGTTCTAAACTGGCATTTCTAAATAAGAAAAGAATAAAGCCCGGAGTTTGATAGGAATATCTTACTCTCGTGTGATAAAACATATTGAAAGGTTTAAGAGCCTTGCCCCTGATTTAGTAACTTGCTTCCCGTGTGACACTGGGCAATCCATATTTTTCTGAGATTTTCCTTATCTACAAAATGGAGATAATAAATAATGTATATAAATGCTTAATAAACGGCCCTAGGTGTAATTTTTTTTAACGTAAGCAAAACCTACGTGAATACTAAAGGGAATGTAGGCCTGGGCCAAATACTGTATTCTGCAATCAGAATATCTATAAACCATCATCACCACAAAATTCTATATTGTTGTTGTTTTTCAAACGTTCACTTTGATAATTTCCATCTAATTGTGTATTCTACCTATAAAATTAAGGTTTTTCTAGGGGTACTTGTCACCTACTTACAAAAGAGTTTTACTTTATTTCAAGAATGATTAAATGTAGGGAAAAATATTCTTAGCCTCTCACTGCTTTTCCATGCAAAATGAAAATCCTGTATTATACAATTAGTTCCTGTGCAAACAATTAAAACATTTTTCCTTTTACAGCCTGACACGTGGTAGGAGATATTAAAATAGGAATAAAGTTAAGACCGTATTTTTCAAATTTCCTACTTAAGGCATTTTCTTCTTTGCTTATTACAAGGCTTACTGTGTATCAGCGACACTTAGCTACTTAGGCCCTCTTCTTACACACACACATACAGGCACACACGCCCTTAAAAGAATACAATGAAGGCAGAATTCAGAATGAATAGCCCAGTTTTATATTCCTGAGAAGTAGAAAAATTGTCTTTCTTAAGGTAGGAAGCACTCAAGTCCTAAGAGCAAGCCACCTCAACGTTGTTCCTTCTTGTTTTTGTGCTCCTAAATTAAAATGCATGTTTTAATTGCTGCAACTGTAATTTGCTCAGAAATGGTATAATTATGAGGCATGATGAAGACAGAATGTGCATCATCCTTTTGTTATCTTTCTCCATTTTTGTTTTAACCTTTTGTCTCAGCCTTGGCTAGAGTCTAAGGCAACAGACAAGTGTGGTTACCGCTAAAGAAATGTGCCGAACCACCACTTTTTCAATTCCTAGTAAACTGTGCGTTAGAGCTTCCCGCTTCCCAAACTAGTTATGATGTGGAGTCAACACTGCAGACAGTGAAGTCATAATGACTTTAAAATGGGGGGCTTTTTCTATCAGCAAGTGGTTGAGGAAATTTTAGTAGTTCTAACAGAGGAAGTAGCTTCTCCCCCAACATTGTAAGAATGTTCAAACATACAGAAAAGTTGATTGAATTTTATGGCAAACACTGGTAGACCTGTCACCCAGACTCCACCATTACCTTTTACTAAACTTGCTGTATCACAAAGATTTTTAAAGGATTTAACTTTTCCCTTTTAGGACTCCTTAATCCTACCCAAAAGAGAATTCGTACTTCCGTACCTAGAGAAAAACTGTAATTATTCCAGCCTTAGGCCACATGATAGAAAAATGACGAGACTATTCTTATAATTTATTGAAAATAAGGAATATGGTTCCCTTAAACCTGAGTAGTCAGACAGTTGTAATAACTAAGTCAGGACATGGCATGCTATTTTATTTTGTTATGGTATGTCAAGCTTATTTTTTTGCTTGTGGATTTTCTCTTAAAGACCTACTTTCTTGGGGCGCCTGGGTGGCGCAGTCGGTTAAGCGTCCGACTTCAGCCAGGTCACGATCTCGCGGTCCGGGAGTTCGAGCCCCGCGTCGGGCTCTGGGCTGATGGCTCAGAGCCTGGAGCCTGTTTCCCATTCTGTGTCTCCCTCTCTCTCTGCCCCTCCCCCGTTCATGCTCTGTCTCTGTCCCAAAAATAAATAAACGTTGGAAAAAAAAAAAAAAAAGACCTACTTTCTTAAGTCCCAACAAGTTTATTATTTTCTCTTTTTCAGAAACGGCCATCTTTCAAGCAAATCATTTCAATTCTGGAGTCCATGTCAAATGATACTAGCCTTCCTGACCAGTGTAACTCATTCCTGCACAACAAGGCAGAGTGGAGGTAGGTAAGCCTTGCACCAAGTCATGGCCTCTGACTTTAAAAGATCGGCCTCTGGCTTTAAAAGATCGGGTCCAGCTCCACTGAAGAAGAAAACCAGTGAACTTGATGACACTCTAGAGTTTTGTTTTTTATGTTAAAATTTTTTGGAGATCTAGTAAGTCCTCCATTGCATACGTCTAAGTATTTGGAAAGACTATTACAATCATATCTCCTGAGAACGAAGACAGTTACCAGACATTTCTCTGTACCATACACTCTGTATTAGGAAGTCTTGGCATCTGTCCAGTGAGAAATAAAAATATTATTTGCCTAGAAGTTTGCAGAGTACTGGATGTGTTGATGGAGGAGGTAGGGAGACTATAAAAACACTTTTGAAAGAAAACTATTGATGTTATGAATCCTACTAAATTTTGTCAAGTGGAAAGCAAACTTAATAATGAGAGAATTGTAATGTGTGAGTGGAAGGAGCAAGCCCAGGATGAGACAGTTGAGCCAGGTCACGTGCTGCAGTTATATAAATAGCATGTTTGGGAGCTGACATTATTCCTCCCTGACTCAGCAGAGATTTAAGTAACTTATCTCTGCTCCTGATAGCCTTGGCGGTAACGTGACGCCTTACGCCACCTGCTGATGCCCAATGAATACTGCATGCACCTTGGAAACCTCGAGTTGTTCACTCCTGTTCTTAGACGTTTTCTTGGGCTTTCTGTATGATTGTTTTACAGTAACCTTATTGGTTTTTATTCTTTTGAAATCTCTATCTGAGGCCAGTGAGTTATATCAGTTTTTATTTAGGGAAACAAAAGTCATACTCTCTGCTCGAATGTAGGTATGAGGGGGTTTCGTTCTGGACTTAAATAATTAACAAAACATGTAAGTTAATACTTGTTTCCTACAGTAAGAGACCAGCACAAATTAATCAGGTCACTCTTGTTTCAAATCCGTGTAAGGGATTACTCTAGTATAAAGGTCAACGCTGCACAAGACTCAGGAGACCCTTTGCACTCTGACCTCAGCAGCCTTACCGTAAGAGCATAGTTCTGCCTCTTAATTTCTGGCTTTTAGTCCCTCAGTAGATGCATACTTCTTCCTTGTTTAGAGTCCTTGCAAATGCAGCTTCTTCTATATAAAACTCGTCCCTTTCGGCAGCATACCACCCTTGACACCCACATCCAGCTTGGCTCCTAGTCATCATTTAGATAGCAACTGAAATAACGTGTATTTAAGGAAGTGTTTCTGACCCTAGATCAGATGAGGTTCTACTTTATGTGCCCTGAGAACATCTCCTTTAGAACCTCTACTGCTATTGGAATTAATAAGTAATTCTGTAGTTTGCTGTTTTATCTGTACCTCTCTGGCTGCAATGTAAAAGGATCAGATAATCTCTTTTGTTCATTACTATACCTACAGCATCTAGAATGGGCCTTGCACAGCAGTTGCTTGATAAATATTTGGGGAGGGAAACACCATGGTGGCAGCAACAGTAAAAGACATTATATCATACAAGAGAATATAAATACGTAAGCTGATTTATTGACAGGTGTGTTTCTTACATTCATTCATTCACATACTCCAGAACCTCTGCCGAGGCAAGGCACTCTTGTGTTGTGCCATGGTGATGAGCAGAACAGCCCTAGTGCATATGGAGTAGGGGGTCTAGCGCTGAACTACTGACTATAGATGCACAAGCAACTTATTACTACTTTGATAAGAATTATGACACAGAATTACTGGACATCTGAGAGTATGCACATGAAATCTAGTCTGACGAAATAATAAAAGGATTTCCTGGGAGATGCTGTTTGATCTGTTATCCAAAAGACTAATGGGATTTTAAAATTAGTGTATTATAATAGCCTTGAGATATGATACTAAAACTATGCCAACAACATCAGAAAATAGGGGGACAGTTGGTAAATTTTCTATAGAAAAATGTAAAAACCTCCTTTTGGCAAAAGCAGTGCCCACCATAAACTTCCAGGACAAATGCCACACTGCCGTAACTTCTTTCCCCCTAGATAGTAGCTTGGCAGTTCCGGAAGTTTTTGGTCTCAGGACTCCATTACACTCTGAAAAATTATTGAGGACTACAAAGAGCTTCAGTTGCAGTGAGTTAGATCTGTCAGTATTTACCACATTCAGAATTAGAACTGAGAAAAAATTTAAGTATGTAGCTCTTGATTCATTTAAGTAACAATAAATCCTGTCTCTGCACTCAGCCTGCGGCACTGGCACATATCATGAAGCCTCTGGAAGGGTCTGTGCACTTGTGAGAGAATGAGAAAAGGCACGTCATGTCTTAATGTTGTTCTGAAAACCACTTTAATCTCTTCGATCCTTTGAAAAGCTCCCAAGGGCCCCCAGATCACACTTGGAAGACTACGGTGGTAGACAGAGTTACTGCCTTTAAAATAACATTTTAATTATATCATTCTAAAGGACATGAAAGGCATTTCACAAAAGGAGAAGTCAAATGGCCAATAAACATATGAAAATATTTAACCTCACGTACAATCAAGCAACTATAAGGGAACATAATTCATTGCCAGATTGGCAAAAATCTACATCATGAAAATATCCAGCATAATAAACTTTCTAGTACATTGCTGGTGAAACTACTACCTTTTTGGAGGACAGTCTGGCAGTATAGATCGGCTGCCTCCACTCCACCACTACCACTCCATTCCTGAGGAAATGAAAGGCTATACAAGAATGTACAGATACGCGCTTATCACAGCGTCATTTAGAATTGTAAATTAGAAAGGGCATAAGGTGCAATAGATTTTTGGTTTTTTGTGATTTTTATGGTTTTAGCAACTGATGCTATCTCCAGAATAGATGGAGCCATTTATGATAATACAGATCTGATAAATGACTTACAAATAGAGGTTAGGGTCCAGTATGATTAGAATGATTGCATTTTTTGTACTATAAATATTTACGTTTAGATGGTATGTGTACCTAAAAGTATCAAAAGGTCAGTGACACCAGTGGATAATTAAATTTGGGAAGAGTGTTTTGTATTTGGATAGCTTTATTTTCTACAAACCTGGATGGTTGAATAATAATTTTTTTTAAATGTCTGAAGATGAAAAGATGAGGGAAATAACATTGGTAATACATTAATGTGTTTTAGTAAAAAGCAAGCAGTTGTTTAGCTGGCTTCCTCCCTGGCTCCTTTGAGAAACCAGTTGATCCTGAGAGCTGGTGAGAGAATATGTTTCTTTACCTGAACCCTAAACCAGTCTAAGAAGTAGCAGGGCTGTTTTATCTGAACGTGGCAATTGGTTAAAACCAGAGGGAATAATATTAGGGTAACAACACACACAACTGCCATTTATTATATTCTCACCAGATGCTCGTACTTTATCTGGATTATCTTTTTTTAATCCATACGGCAATCCTGACTTCTGTCACAGAGCAAAATGAGATGGATGGACATGTTAGGTCACCTGCCCAAGATTACACTAAGAGCCAGTACCAGAACCCACGTGGTTTGGTCCCACAGGCCTGCTGTGGTGCGCGCTCTGCTGCTCCCGGACCGTGGCCGGCGCCATACCATCCGGTCATGACCATGCAGAGTTCACCTGATTCCTTTGAGCAAAGAGAAATACGAGAGCGTGATTGTTCTAGGTTATGATCAAGGCAAAAACATCCCACTCTGTCCCACATACCAAAAAGAATCAAATGCTTTGTCACATCATCTGGATATTTCAAAGGGCAACACATTCAGACTGTCCTCTTTCTCCTGACTTTTGTCTTGTGTCTGAAACCACATGACTGCTGTTGAAAGCATGTGTAGGACATCTTGTGTTTCTGGGAAATGCTTGTTTTGTGGTAGACCTTCCTTACACATAGACCAGATGAAACATTCTGTTTTAGAAAATTAAATGATTTTTATTACAATTCTAAATTTTATATTTAGTTTTGTGAGAGAGAGAGAGACTAGGGGAGGGGCAGAGAGAGAGAGAGAGAATCTTAGGCAGGCTGTACACCCAGCATGGAGACTGATGCGGGGCTCTATCTCACAACCGTGAGATCATGACCTGAGCCGAAATCAGGAGCTGAACACTAAACCGAATGAGCTATCCAGTTGCCCCTTAAAATTCTTTTTAAAGCTAGGTTATTTAAAACCATATAAACTATGTTCTTTCCAGGGTGCCTGGGTGGCTCAGTCGGTTAAGCATATGACTCTGGCGCAGGTCATGATCTCGCAATTCGTGGGTTTGAGCCACACGTCGGGCTCTGTGCGGACAACTCAGAGCCTGGAGCCTGCTTCAGATTCTGTGTCTCCCTCTCTGTCTCTCTAAACATTAAAAAAAATTTTTTAAGTGAACTATGTTCTTTCTTTTGATCTAATAGATGATAGGAAAGAGGGGCGCCTGGGTGGCGCAGTCGGTTAAGCGTCCGACTTCAGCCAGGTCACGATCTCGCGGTCCGTGAGTTCGAGCCCCGCGTCAGGCTCTGGGCTGATGGCTCGGAGCCTGGAGCCTGTTTCCGATTCTGTGTCTCTCTCTGCCCCTCCCCCGTTCATGCTCTGTCTCTCTCTGTCCCCCCCCAAAAAAATAAATAAACGATGATAGGAAAGAAATCTACAGTCAGATATTTCCTTGTTCGTATCTTCAGCTTGTTTCTCCTACTATTGATTTATTAGCAATAACAGCCATGATCATTAAGAACAGGAAATGTGTCACCCTGTTGCTCATGTTTGCAATTTTCATTGCCACACATAACTGCCTTGTAATCGGCACTGAGTGAGCTATGTGGTGCTGTGAGGCATGTTCAGATCTGTGTCTCTTGGCGGAATACTTTGCTGATTGTATTCCTCCCTTGTGATTAGAATACCCCCACCGTGGCACACCTTGTTAAAAACAAGAAATGGGCATCTGGGTTGGTTAAGCGTCTGACTTCAGCTCAGGTCATGATCTCAAGGTTTGTGAATTCGAGCCCCACGTCGGGCTCTGTGCTGATAGCTCTGAGCCTGGAGCCTGCTTTGGATTCTGTGTCTCCCTCTCTCTCTGCCCCTTCCTCGCTCGCTCGCTCTCTCAAAAATAAACATTAAATAAAAACAAAAAACAAGGTCACCTGGGTGGCTCAGTGGGTTAGGCATCTGAGAATTTCAGCTCAGGTCATGATCTCACAGTTCATGGGTTTGAGCCCCAATGGGGCTCTGTGCTAACAGTGTGGAGCCTGCTTAGGATTCTCTGTCTCTCTCCTCCCTCTCTGCTCCGGCCCTGTTAGCACTCTGTCTCTCAAAAATACATAAACACATTAAAAACAATAAAACCAAAAAACAGATAGGGAAATTTAATCTTTGCAATCTGGATATTAGCACAAATCCTTTAATATATAACACTAGTATTCATATTATTTACTTACCATCGTATATATAATATAGCTATTTTTACAAATTGACCTTGAAAAGATAATTACATTTCACTATTTTTGGCATGTGAAAAATTGATACTAGTGGAAGTCAACTTTAATTGGATTTGGGTTAAGAGAAAAACCATCATTTTCATCAACTAGAACACTTAAACTTTTAAAAACACCTATGTTTATAGAATAAGAAGGTTATATACATACATCAATAGATGCACTCAATGCAAAAGAATCCATTAACAACACGGGGAGCGGGGTCATTGCGTCCCTCATGGTACATAACTTCCCACACTCCCTGCAGAAGCGGGGCGCCTGGGGCAGGGAGTAGTGTTGGGAAGTGCTGAGCCTGAGGAGCCGGGTTGAGGAAGCAGATTTTACTCAGTGTTTGTTTTTCTGTGTCACAGCTTCCAGCTTACTTAACCATTGGTCTGTTTTCCAGAAGGGCTCAAACTCACAGTTGGCTCCCAGAGCTGAAACTTGAGATGAACCCTTGCCTAAATTACAAGTGAAACTGAACGTGCTGGCCGCTTACCCCTGACCAGAGTATCCGTGCGATCATTCTCTCGGGCAGGGGTGTGGCGTGGCCTGCTGGAGGCACTGCACAGACAGCAGCCCAGCTCCCCCCACCACCTGCCACTGAGTGCCCCCCTCTCTGCTGCCTCCTCTCCTCACCCTCTGACCCCTTCAGTTCCCCAAGATGGCTCACTTTCACTTTCTTTGTTATAAAAGTTTAACCTAAGGTTTCCCACATTGATTTTTTTCCCTCAAATCTCCATTTGAAAAATAAACACACACTTATTTATGAATGGGCATAATCTTTTTGTCAGAAACATCAGGGATAAAATGTGGACTTGATGATAGTGATAATTCTGAAAGATTGCTGATTTTGGTGCCTTTCTTCAGGTAGTGTGACTGTTCTTATGTTCTATAATTTTCAAATGACACCAATAAGAGGAATGGAGTGTCGACGGCAGGTGCTTTTACACTAACTTGCTAACTCCCTGGCTCTGAGGTTCTTTTCAGATAACCAGAGAAGTCCAGTGTTGTACCCAAATCCAGACCCACCTCAGTAGCTGTTCCCTGTCTTAGATGTTGCCAAATAATACCTAGGACTTTTTTTTTTTATGTTTGTTTATTTTGAGAGAGAGAGAGAGAGAGAGAGAGAGAGAGAGAGAGAGAGAATCCCAACCAGACTCCATGCTGTGGCAGCACTTACCAGCTAATAACCAGTCAGCTGTCTCCAGGCCTTTCAGAAACTCAAGGGAAGGAACTTCCAGCTCTCAGAGCACAGTGACAGGCCTGAAGGAAGAAAATGGCTTGTACTGAGCCATGTCATCAACAGTTCATTTTCTACAAAGGTTTCTATAACTGAACATATTCTAAGTAGTGAGGTTGATTGGCCTATAGAGACTAAAGAGGGAACTTTAAAAAAATTATTAGACTTCAAAAGAATCCTAGAGTTCATCTGATCCACACTTGTCGGATTATAAAAATTACCTGGGTTTTTAAAAAAATTTTTTAATGTTTATTTAGTTTTGAGAGAGAGAGAGACAGAACGTGAGTGGGGGAGGAGCAGAGAGAGAGGGAGACACAGAATCCAAAGCAGGGTCCAGGCTCTGAGCTGTCAGCACAGAGCCCAACGCGGGGCTAGAACCCGCGAACCGTGAGATCATGACCTGAGCCGAAGTTGGACGCTTAACCGACTGAGCCACCCAGGAGCCCCGGGTCTTTTATTAAATAATGGAAATTCCTAGTCCCTACCCAGCCCTACTGAATCATAAGCTCTAAGGAAGGGTCCTAGGAATCTGTATTTTGTTGTGTATTTATTTGTTTTTTAAAAAGCTGCCCAGGTAGTTATTAGGATCAGGCAGTCTGGGGAACCCTGGTATAAGATAATCATCACCCCCTACAACTGAGAAAACTAGGTCAGATTAATCAATTGATTGAGTTACCCAGTCAGGGAATTAGGCTAACCTGAATTCACTAGGGACAGGATGTTGATCACCCAACCTGAACATCATTTTCCCCATCTCTATATATGGGATTAGTACCGGTTTCTTGGGGCTGTTATGAGAATAAGATGAGACATTGTGTAATAGTGCTTTCTAAACTATAAAGGGCTAGTTTAATGTCAGCATTCATTAAACAGCTAAACCAGGACACCAGCTCCATAGCTTAGGCTCTACTCTCGTGGGTCTTCAGTACTTTGTTAGGAAGTATTTTGAGCTGATTTTTCCAGACTAGAAACTACCTATAGATTTTTAAGGATGTGACAGATTTCTTATTCTCTGATAGTTTCCTGTTTGGTTTAGAAGCACAAGTTTTGCCAGACTCACAGAAATAAAGGATCAGATTTATGGTTACCAGAGTTGGTGGTGGGGACAAATAGGAGGAAGGTGACCAAAAGGTATAAACTTATACTGGGTGCCTCCGTCCGTTAAAGGTCCGACTCTTGGTTTCTGCTCAGGTCATACCTTACAAGTTCCTCAGTTCTTGGGATTCTCTCTCTCCCTCTCTGCCCCTCCCCCCACTTGCTTATGCACACTCTCTCTCAAAATAAAAAAGATATAAACTTCTAGTTACAAGGTAAGTAAGTCCAAGGACTATAATGTGCAACATGATGACTACAGTCTAATGTATCATATGTATGAAAGTTGTTTAGAGAGTACATCTGGAGAGTTCTCATCACAAGAAAATTTTTTTTTCTTTTTTTGCTTGCTCTATATGAGATGATGGATGCTAACTAAATTTATAGTGGGCATCATTTCACAGTATGTGTAAGTCAAACTATTATGCAGTACACTGTAAACTTACACAGTGATATATGTCAATGATATCTCAATAAAACTGGCAAAAATCACAGTCTTTTATTCAGCCTTTCATTTTAGCCTTTTTTAAGTTTATTTTTGAGAGAGAGTGTGAGCAGGGGAGGGGCAGGGTAAGCGGGGTTGGGGGAGAGAACCCCAAGCAGACTCTGCACCGTCAGTGGAGAGCCCTACGTGAGGCTGGATCTCACCACCATGAGATCTTGACCTGAGCCAAAATCAAGAGTCAGAGTCTTAACGACTGTGCCACCCAGGCACCCCAGCCTTTCACTTTCATTACACATTCTGATGGGCCACTAAGCATTTAATAACTCTTGAGCAAAGCTGAGACTTAAACCAGTCATCCCTGTGCAGGTGCGAAATTGAGGCAACTCTTGAGAGGCTGAAGAAACTAGAACGGGACCTCAGCTGTAAAGAGCAAGAGCTGAAAGAGCGGGAAAGACGTCTGAGGATGTGGGAGCAAAAGCTGACGGAGCAGTCCAACACCCCGGTGAGTGCTCCCCATGGGTGACTCGGCCCCCAGCTTAGAAGAGGCAGCATGGCGGCCCTCCCCTCCCCCACGGCCACCTCCCTCACTTCCTGCCGTATGCCTGCACGGTGAAGGGCCTGCGTTTACACTCAAGTAGCGCTCGGATCTCATTTCAATTAACAAAATGCCAGAAATTTAAAAGAAAAGCTTAGCCTATTTCTGGCCCTTTCTCTAAGTACTGTTATTCTGTCAGCGTGTTTGTATATTAGAATTACAAAAATAAAATGCAGTGTATTTTCGCACCATCTGTTAGATCCCCAGAACACGTGCCTAACGGCTGATTAACTCCATAGAGCCCATCAGGAATTAATAAGCGGAACGCCGAGGCAGCTTGCTGTCCAAGAGTCTCCATGTGGCAGAACTTAAGCAAGTTTTCCTTCTAAAAGAGAACAAACTTGGTGACATATCAACGACCAGCATTAATATTCCTTGCTCCATTTAGTGTTACAATCACTGCAGCAAAAGATTGGAAAAAGATGTCCCTTGTGACAAGCCTCTAATATTTACTACTTAAGAACTACCTTGTTTTTTTCCCAAGCTTTTTATTTAGAGGAAGATAAAAATTCTTCATAAGGATTTCACGATTTCTGTATTTAGCTTATACTTATATATTGACATGATATATTAAAGTCTAACCAAATTTCAGGATTCTTCCCTATTTTGAATGGTTTATCATTTCAGGAATTTAGTAGATCATTGGCTTTTTTGGTTTTTTTAATGGGTAAAATTTGTCCACTTTATATATTTTTTTCTACCGTTTATTCGTTTTTTGATAGAGACAGAGAGTGAGTGGGGTGGGACAGAGAGAGAGGGAGACAGAATCTGAAGCAAGCTCCAGGCTCTGAACTAACATCACAGAGCCTGACGCAGGGCTCGAACTCATGGACCGTGAGATCATGACCTGAGCTGAAGTCGGACGCTTAACCGACTGAGCCACCCAGGTGCCCCAATATTTGTCCACTTTGAAAACCAAGTAATGGTAAGATTAAAAGTAAAATTATGTATTTTAAATTCATTTTTGATAGTTGCTGCGGTAATTTTACCCAAAAAATACTTACATGCTCTTCACTTTGTGATCTTCAAAAAGCTTTCCTATTTTTAAAAGCCTTAATCACCATTAAGCAGCCAGTGCCCAGTTGCAGAGTATCTCCCAATGTCTAAAGAATGACATAGTTTGCCTCCTTTTCCGGTTTACGTGGAAAAGCAACCTGATATCCAAAGAAGGGAAATACAATGAAGTTAAGTATTTATTATCAGATTTAACTTTTTCCAAAATGACTCTGGCCATCCACGGACTTCCAAAGCAAGAACTGAATTGCTATACATAAGACTGCCATGGGACATTAAAAAGGTACTACATTTCGTAAGTTCATTTGGCTCTCAAGAGGGAAGTCGAGTCTGGTTGAATTGGCGTCAACAGGCGGACTCAGAAAGCATCACCCTAAGGGTCTGCTGGGAACACGGCTTCTCCCAGAGCTGAGGAGAGGCAGACACATGGCTGTCTTCTGAAGGCTGAGAGGCGGTTTTTTTTTTTTTAAAGTACATTGAAATCTTAAGCTATAAAGCACTGCATGGCTTGACTCTTTCTAAATGTAGCATTGTAAGAAAAAACTTTAAACTACCTATTACAGTATGCTTTAGAAGCTTTCTTTGGTTTATCGGCATTAGTTTTGCTAAGAAATCATGGGCTGCCTTGCACACATTATTGCTATTAGTAACATGGTTGTGTAATAAATAATGAAACAGTAGGAGTGCTCGGTAGGTTGTATGCTTGCGTTTTAACTCCAGAAAACTTTCTGTAAAGGAACCGCTCTGAAGGCTACCGTCTAACAATGGACAGCATGAAGCATGATCTCAGAGTTTCTTCCTTTTTTTTTTTTTTTTTTTAACCTATGAGGGCTAAGTTTTCTTTCTTACAGTACTTGCTTTTAATGTCTCTTCTGCTTAGAGCTCATATTTCTGAAGGAAAGAAAGTTTGTGCTCAGGTATTTTCTAAGTGGGTATTTTCTTTTATCCTCACATCAGTTTCTAGTTGACTTTAAATGAGGTTTCTGAGAGAAAGATGAAATAAACCTTTTAAAAAGGAAGTGGCTGGAGGTTTAGGTTTTCTGTCTGTAGCCTCATCTTAATTATAAAAGTTTAACATTTATGTAACTTCATAAAAAATAGTATTATTGGATTTATTTCAGGGAGGGACACCATTTACTTTCCTGAAATTAAAACATTAGTTGAAGATATTAGGGAAGAGGAATTCTCCCATACAGAAACACAGACAGTGTTTGTTTTTTAATTATTGTTGCAGCTTGATGTAAAAATTTGATTTCTCTTAAACATCAAAGCTTATTTGAGAGACATCTGTTGAGAAGGCAAGGACAAAGCTCTCTAAAGAGAATCTAACAATTGAAAACAAATTTGAGAAGCTGCAAAGTTTGGCTGCATGGAAAATAATATCCTGTTTCCAGTGTTAAAGGATCTAACACAATTTTTTCCTTCTTTATAATTGTATTTTTTAGCTGAAGCATGTGAAGTTCTTATTGATGTAACAACTCTGGAAATCTTTTCCTAATAGAGTAAGATATTTTTTAAAAGCCCAACTCCAGGGGGCGCCTGGTTGGTTCAGTCAGTAGAGCATCTGACTCTTGATCTCAGGGTCGTGAGTTTGAGCCCCGTGTAGGGTGTAGAGATTACTTAAAAAAATAAAACTTAAAAAAAAAAAAAAGAACCTCAACTTCAACTTCAGTTTAAAAATTAGGAAACTGGCCCTAAAAACCATATTTATACCCAGGATGTAAATCTGTGCACTATTTATCATAAATTTACCCATATTTGAACACCACCAAAAATATAAGCCTTAATTTGCTTATCTCTCAAAAGAAGAGGCAGTAACACTTTTCAGATCCTGACAGACTCCTGAAATGAGTAAGACCAGAATTTATGGGAATAGGTTAGTTGTTCAAAATCATGATGTAAGGTAGAAAATAGAGGTCTACCACTGTGAGAGGGGGAATTCCTAGAAAAAAGAGTTCTACTACAAGAAGGGCACTTAGAGAATAGAGCAAAAGGTAACAGTCTAAATTAGTACTAATTTTCTCTCCCCCAGATTTTCATATGTATTTATGTCCTTAAGTATTAGAGACAGACCTAGAATCTGTTCACTAAGTGAATTAATTATTTCATAAGTCAAGTAACTAGGTTTCTATCTGGTTGTAATAAATAATAAGCAGAAACTACTGAATCCTAGACTCCTTTTTAATTTAGAGAGAGATGGTAATCTAGATAGAAAGGAGATTAATGGCCCAGATTTCTGTAGAAGGGTATTGACTACTGAACTGTCTTTATGCTTCCTCTGAACTTGATCCTTTGGTACAAGTTTCCTTCATTTTTTACTTGAGATTTAATCTCTACTTAATTTCTTTTTAATTTAATATTTAACGTTCTGTGTGCAAGTGAAATTGGAAAAAATTAAGAGAGATCCTAAAAACTGTTTTAAGCGAAATGAGGGCTTAAAACTTGCAACTTCCTTCCCATTTGAAATCTGGCCTGCTGTGGCGCTCTGCAAACTTTTGGTTGTGGTTTACTCTGTCATGTATAAATTATGGCAAATATGCTGGAGCCAAACCTGCCATTAAATACGTTTTTACAGGATTCCCTACATTCGTTTATTTCACTAATCATTTACCTTCTGTGCAGCACCCACTAATTTTGTGGTATCTGTTTCCTTTATTTAAATTGGTCCTAATTTCTCTTTTTGCTTCTGTCCTTTCTTCCCTCACGATAGCTTCTCTTGCCTCTTGCTGCAAGAATGTCTGAGGAGTCTTACTTTGAATCTAAGACAGAGGAGTCAAACAGTGCAGAGATGTCATGTCAGATCACAGCAACAAGTAACGGGGAGGGCCATGGCATGAACCAAAGTCTGCAGGCCATGATGCTGATGGGCTTTGGGGATATCTTCTCAATGAACAAAGCAGGAGCTGTGCTGCATTCTGGGATGCAGATAAACATGCAAGCCAAGCAGAATTCTTCCAAAACCACATCTAAGAGGAGGGGGAAGAAGGTCAACATGGCCCTGGGGTTCAGTGATTTTGACTTGTCAGAAGGTGACGATGATGATGATGATGATGATGACGGTGATGAGGAGGATAATGACATGGATAATAATAGTGAATGAAAGCAGACAGCAAAGTAAGAAAATTGAAAATGTTCGGCAAACCAAAAGAAACTTGCTACTCAGTCTGTACGAAAACCAATAAGGAGGTAGAAAAGTAAGCATGGAATTTTTAAGCCAATCACATTTCTATGACAGTCATTTCTTTAATGATTTTACTTTTTTTTTTTCCTGCTTACAGAAAAATGGGGGTGTGGGGGAGGGTTAAGCCAGAAAGGTATATTTAATGAGTCAGCAAATGTGGTGCCTGATTATAGAAATTTGTGACTCTATTATACAATATAGTATTTTTCACAACTAATTATATTCTGGCTTTTTTTTTTCAAGCAAATACTTTATACTTTGATTTGATTTCATTTATTTAATTGCTTAAGAAAACTTACATTTTGAAAAAGCACTCTTAACTCCTAATTCTTCTTAGACACTGATTTTCTTGTAACACACTACATTTCTTTTTCTTCTGGCAATATGCTGTGCTGTCAGAAATAATTGAGAGTGACTACAAAATCCAACAATAAAAAAATTGAGATGAAAGGCGGCGATCACAAATACTTCAGAAATACCTAAATGCCAAGAATTTTCAATACTTAATAGCACAACTACTCACAGTAAAACCTGAGAGATGTTCTTAATAGTATACTGGAAGAAGAAATACTCTAATTTGAAACCAACAGCAGATGTTGCAGGCTTTCATGCCAGTGCTAGCCCTGGAAGCTTCTGAACAACACACGATCATCTGAGGCGTAGTTTATAAAAGAAGGGTATGGTCTTAAAGGGAAACTTACAGGCAGGGCAGCTCAAGTGCTAATACAGACCTGCTCTGCGCTGCCAGTAAGGATATACGCATGTTCTTTTTCCACAGGGGCATGATCATTCTGGGTTCTAAATATAGGCAGAGATGTTTTAAAGAGGGAACTAAATATATAAAGGGAAGAGCGAAGGTAAATTATATCTACTGAGACAGACGTGGAGGATGAAGGGTCCTTTTTTTTTTTTTCAGTGTTTATTTATTTTTGGGACAGAGAGAGACAGAGCATGAACGGGGGAGGGGCAGAGAGAGAGGGAGACACAGAATCGGAAACAGGCTCCAGGCTCTGAGCCATCAGCTCAGAGCCCGACACGGGGCTCGAACTCACGGACCGCGAGATCGTGACCTGGCTGAAGTCGGAGGCTTAACCGACTGCGCCACCCAGGCGCCCCTGAAGGGTCCTTTTTAATTCAGATCCAGCCTCCCAGTGTTTTGGGTTTGTTTTTTTTTTGACCTGGATTGAGCCACACTGGTGATAAATGGAAGTGAATGTAGGTGCCGTCTGAAAACCTAGTTCTCCAGAGAGAGGTTCTCAGAATGTTATCACATTTGTCAAAGCTATAAAACACTGTTTGAAAAAAACAAAACAAACTACAAAACATTTGTAGTCCTATATATACAAGAAAGGCAAAAGAATAAAAACTTTTTTCAGCCTATTTTGGAAAGAAGGGCCATTCATTTGACTATTAAACTAAAACACTTTTGGTAGTTCTTTTTATGGGGAATTTAAGAAAGGATATCATCATAGATATTATCTAATACTATTTCCAAGTATACTCAATCAGGAAAAGTCTCTGGAAATTTGAAGCATGACAGGCTTCTAATCCCTATTAACAGCTGAAAAATACCACAAAATGATCAGTACACTGTGCCAGCTTTATTTGGAGAAAAATAACTATTAAAATGTCCTGGGGTGTGAAATGCAGAACAGTCTATATGCCATGGTGATAAAGAGAAGGATCTGTAGTCAAATTATGATTCAAAACTGCCGTGTAATCTGTTAGAAATTATTTAACCTGCGTATCTGTCTGCTCATTTTTGCCATGGGAATGGTAACAGTACCCACTTCAAAGGATTGCTGAAGGGATTAAATGAAATAATACATGTAAAGCACTTAACACAGAACCAGGCCCATGGGAAGTGGTCAGTTAAGTTTAGCAAGTCTTCATTATGCCAGTGAAAAATAAGTGGTTACAGTAACCTGGAAAACTAAACTGTCAATTTCAAGTAATACTTATTGAGTAGTAGGCGATGAAAGTTTAAGTAAACAGCTTTTGGGAAAGATGAAGAAAGCATTCTTAGAACGTAAACTATATAAACAAATTTAACCTGGTGTTCTTTGAAGACTACATACCTGAGGGGTTTGCAGGCCCTGCTACCACCCATAGACTAAGTAAAAACAGAATGAATAGGTAAGTCTTTCCCCTGGGAGATGGGTTCCCTCCATACCCAATCCAGTACACCTTCTGTCTATGCAGCCATTCACAGATGCACACTACACAGTGCTGCCGGCAAATAGGCACAAACCTCAACAGGTGTCCTGTCCGTGCGCAGACGTAAGAGGAGCACTCCTTGACTCAAGCTGAGCCCCTCAAGCTGAACATCTGGGAGCCAAGCAGAGGGGTGGTTTTCAACTCTTGACTTCCCAGCATGCCCTGGGGGCACTGTAGTCCAGCAACCTGGAGGAGAGAATCAAGGAGCAAGTAGTTAAAATTTTTTTTTAATGTTTGTTTATTTTTGAGAGAGAGAGAGACAGAATGCGAGTAGGTTGCGGGAGAGAGAGAGAGAGGGAGACACAGAATCCGAAGCAGGCTCCAGGCTCCGAGCTGTCAGCACAGAGCCCGTCGTGGGACTCGAACTCACAAGCTGTGAGATCATGACCTGAGCTGAAGTCGGACACTCAACCGACTGAGCCACCCACGTGCCCCAAGTAGGAAGTAGTTTAAAAGCCTCTTGCACATCTTTCTAGAGAAAGATAAAGTCATTCCACAGGTATTCATTGAGCCCCTTCTCTGTGCCAGGGACTGTTCCAGGGACCAGCTAGAGGGAGACCCTGGTGCTCATGGAGCACACCTGCTAGTGAGCAGAGATCCTGACAGTAAACAAAACAAGTGGGTTCTATAGTACGTAAACACTTGTTAAGTGCATGCTGAAAAACGGAGCAGGGGAAGAAGATGACACACGGAGGAATGTTGTGGGTTTTCAAGTGTGGTCGGACAAGGCCTCACTGATCAGGGAATGTCTGTGGGCTAATTTTGAGATCTGCGCACTTTATGTAAGAATGTAAACCCTGCCTCTCATTCAAGAATCCTCATCAACAAATTTAGAACATATAAACAGAATGAAACTGACATTTTTTTCTCAATTTACATATAAATCTATCGTAATTACACAAAGTTTCGGTGCATTAATAGAAGCAGCCAAATAGGGCTAGAAGAGAAAGGTAATAGGACTCTACTCAGACCTAGGGGTTACCGTTAATTAGGGAATCTCTCCCTGATCTCTCCACTGCTGTCATCTTCCTCACCAGTATTCAGGGATTTAGGGTACAGCAGAATTGAAAACTTCAGTGATAAGCTTGAAATTGTTCTCCACCTGGAATTGTATTTTATTATAGGTAATTATCATACAGCATTACTTTATGTTTCAGATAAGTCCCTTTCTAGGGTTTTGAACATCCCTAAAGTCTAAATCCTATAAACAAAATTTTAAAGTGGTCTCACTCTGTGAAGATTATTTAGAAGACTTTAGACTCTTATTACTTTTCAAAGGAACTGTTTATTATGCACATTTTATAATGATGTTAATTGTACAGCTTCTAATTCACTTTTCAAATCAGTTTTTCAAATGGCAAATTGTTGATGTTGGATTTATTTCCAATTACTTGACTTACAAAAGTGTATACTTATAAAGAAATACTAAGAAATTTAAAGATTCACAATAATAATTGAAACTCTAAATTGTCATAATTTTCAGAGTCCTACAACTGAAAATATAATTACTCTTTTTCATCTCTTTTTCTATATTCATAAAGTTGACGATCTAGAATTTGATGACTCTCTACCAGCCATTCTCGTCTTGGGCACCTAATGATGTTTGGCGGGGGGGGGGGGGGGGGGGCGGGAGAATATTTTTGGTTGTCACAGTGACTGGGGTGTATTTAATGCCCAGTGCCAAAAATGGTAATCCTGCATGCCAGGGACAGTCCCACCCAATAAAGAATTCCATTTACCAATAGCATTGTCCCTTTCCCCTTTTAGAAACTTGCTAAACCTGGCAGTTTTACAGTTCTGTATCAAATTTTTCTCCCTCAGAATTGCTCTAGTCAAAAGATGCATTTCTAAAATTACAACTACTGTACAATCTATAGTTTATAGGTTTGTGGCATTTATCTTAAATCCTCCCTTGTGGAAATGGTTTCTTTCCCCTTAAGAATGCTGGTGGAAACTTTATAAAACAGCAAAATTTACCTGGGGTGGGGGTTAGTGTCACTCTGTTACACCAATTCCAAAATAAGTAAAAAAGGAAAACATCACTGAGGGAGCTATAGTTCTTCAAAGCAGCCAGGTTAATTTAAAAGGGCTGTGTGCGTGCGTGTGTGTGTGTGTGTGTAAGTAAAATCACATTTTAATATTTTACATTAATAACCAATGGGAAGAGTTGAAGGCACATAGGACACTTGTTTTGGATCCTCTGGAAATGTTGAGGGCCAGTTTTTAGCCAGTGATGTTTAACATGCAGCAAATCTGTTAGATTTTAACACCAGCTGAGTTAATTCAAAATTGATTCCCATTAAAATCAAGGAATCAGACGTAAGATTTGGGAGAGATCCAGAATGACTTCTCCTAGAACTATGATGTACATAACTATTTTTCAGAGTTTTCATTGTAGTAAGAATTTCATGAAAGATCATTTTAAAAGGTATTCTGAGTTAAATATTGAGACTTTTTTGGGTTTTGATACGCTAGACTTGTTGCAGCATTTGAAAACTAGCACATTCTCTACCACATATGAGAGAGCATAATTTTTCTATAATCAGGCACCTTTTGCTGCTTTTGAGTAAGACTGTTTTCCTGTTTAGACTTTAAGCGTTGCCAGAAAGAACAATCTGTTCTGTTCTTTCAATTGTGGCCTAGCCTGATAGCTGTAGCATTTCTGTGATGAAAAAGGAGCGTGTACCAGGAAATCTGAAGGGCTAGCTAGCCATGTTCGTTTATGCTTCAACTATCAGTTGCACACTATTGCCTATGAGGAGCTTTCTGGCATGTGATTATTGACTTTAAAACTAGTGTTTCAAGCACCTACATTAATTATTTTATATTGTGTGCAGAACAGTTTAACTTTTAATGTCAGATACAATACACTGCACATATTGCTTTTGCACTCTTTTAGAAATTTTGTACTAAATAATAGGAAATATTTATATTCTTTGAGTGTGAGCTTTGAATAGATGGCATTATCACTTTTTTTTTAACAAAACCTTTTTCTCAACTATTCTGTTGCAATGTTATTCTGAGCAAATCCTATGCCAAATATCTTGTATAATGTTTGTATGGGAGATTACATATCACTCGTGTGTGGTAAGACTACTCAGTTATTGATTTCATAGTTGGAATTTGATATTCCAGCACAAGTCCACAATGTATTCAGAAATCCAAGTTGGTGTCATACATTTCATTTTGATGTGAACTTTTCTTTGCTTTTTTCTTTGTTTTAAGACTCCATTTTGCAATAAACGTTTTGACAGTAAATCCCTTTGTTATGTGTTGCTGTGTATATCAGATCTTTGTTAGATGGGATTTCCCAACATCCTTGGAAGGAATCACGGTCACACGCATGCACATGAATGTGAGCTTTTCTCTCCTGAAATCAGTTGAGTGTAAATAATGAATTTGTAAAGTGACGGGGCAGTCACGAGGTGGATTTTTTCTTATCCTCAAAAGAACAAAAGGCTTAGAACTCATGCTACAGCAGATACACTGACATGCTAAGAAGGTACAGAAAGCATAAAGGAAATGGTAAACCACTATGTGGCTAGAGATCATTAACTCTTACCCCCATCTTGCCAAATTCAAACTGTCTTGAAGCAGTGTCTGGCTCCAGCCTTCCTATCACTGATCTCTGCAAGCCTTGTGCAAGAATCCTGCCAGAGTGATTATCAAACTGAATCTATGCCTTTCCCTTGGTGTCCTCTTGATGAGCCACGCTAGGAGGGCAAGAGAACTCTTCCCCTCTCCTTTTGACCTTAAAACCAAATATGATGGGTTTTGATTAGTTGTTTCATTTACAACCTTTATTCAAGAAATACTTAACGATTTTGCTTAGCACAACATTTGGGAATTGTATAAAAATCAAACCACCACATATCCCCCCACTCCCTATAGAGGCCAACCTTGATGCAGGGAAAGAGTTCTGTAAAGTCAGTCTGTTGTTCCTTGAACTCATCAAAAAAGTTCCTTATTTCACATTTGTTTCCGTGATGGGAAAAGGGGATGACATGTTCCTGCAGCTGTATTCAGCTGCCCCATGAACAAATAAAATGTCACGTATATTCTTTGGTCAAATTCAGTTTTAGATTTTTCTTCCTCAAGTCATTTTCCTTTCTGCATTACTGAAGCAGGTGAGTGCATGTGAAGATTCCTACCTATATCCAGTATCTCAGAGGAGGAGAGGGGCAATCCTGAGGGAACTGGGGTACATGGGGGGTAGCAGAGTATATACAGACCGGTCGTGATTTATGCCCTTACAACTCAGCTAGAACACTCAAACTGTACACAAATATATTGTAACTTGTGGGTTTACAACAAAAATTCTGATTGGCTCCCTAGAGATTTTTAATCATTGCCAGAGAGAATTTAGGCATTTTAAGCAAAGATGTTAAGCATTTCCCCTTTATCCTCCAATGTACACACGCTGCATCCAGTGCTCCAGTAAGGCAAACATGCCATGCCCCCCTTCCCTCCTGTCCCCAACACCAGTGCCATTGTCTGGCCTTCCTGCTTCTCCTCAAGTAGAATCACATCTCCGTTCTTTGTGCCCTAGAGTACCCAGCTCAAGTCACCATGCCTTCCATCCCCATCTTGGTCTATGAAACCCTCCCTTTTCCCTGGTATACCCGCACACACTGAATTCTCTATCAGAGGATTCAGCATTTTAGTAAATGCACCTTGCAGCTGGATTCATTCAATGAAATGGTTCAACAAAAATTTACCAAGTATTGTACGCCAGGCACTCTGCTAGGCACTGAGTGAGCCAACACGAAGGTAGCCTTAAACTCCTTCATCTATAATCCGTATCTGTTTCACCCCCAATTAAATTAAAAGCTCCTTAAAGGGAGGAGCATACCTTTCCTAGTATGGTTTTGAGCATGTGAGTTCAAAATATTTGCAGATTAGAAACTCACCCACCTTCCGATTTTTACACTAATAGTAAAAGCAACCAGATTCAACTTTGTTTTTCAATTCATTCACCCAAAAAAAAAAAAAATGTTATTTGTAACAAAGGTTGAAAGGCACTGCCATGTTACCTTACAAGCAATCCAACCATGCTGGCAAGTTAGTTAAAGCTAAAGGGTATGGCAAACTCTAATTCCAGACACAGGACACAATTTTTTTTTCAAAAAATGTAGGCGTTTATCATTTAGTCTATTGCCATGGGCATATACTGAAGCAAGTAGCTCTTTGGCTTTGAAAATGATGCAGGCCAAAGTCCTTTTGCAAAGTCTTTCATGTCTACATCTGAAAAGAAGAGAGGTTAGTGGTTTTCATTAGAGCAAACTCTGCAATGTGGGTTTCTTGGGACGATAGTTCCAGTTTCACCCGTCCTTCTTCATCCATGGATCCTAATATTTCCTTTTAAAAATATAATGCAAGTGAGTCATTTGGCTAACCACTTAGAAATTCCCCTGTAAGCAGCAGCATATATGGATGCCTGGCTGGCTCAGTTCGTAGAGCAGGCAATTCCTAATCTTGGGATTTTGAGTTCAAGCCCCACATTGGGTGTAGATATTACTTAAAAAAAAATAAAGTCTTTTCATCTTGGTAAACTACCGCAACAGTGTGAAGTTAGAATTCCATCAGGGTGATGCCAGGTTCCATTTGAAATTTATTTGCAACCTGCTTGGGCACAGAAGCCGTTGTCTCCACAAACACTGGTGTGGTTGAACTGACAGTTAATGTGTTGTGACCTGGAGTTCACCGTTAAAAGGGTCACCCAAGCAAAGTCCTGGAGTTTATTTGGTTATTAATAGGATTGTTGGCACATCCTATGCAATATATCTAAATTGAATTATGGTATCAGATAAAATTATAGATGGGATTAAAGCTTGTGTATCGTCCATTATCATGTGTAATCAATAAACGATGTAATATTCTCTTGAAAAAGAAAATAAAAAATAAAAAATAAAAAAAAAGTAGCAGCAGCAGCATAAAGGTAATCTGATTACCAAAGTGTTGCTTCAGAACTTTCATGAACAATCCGATGATCCTCATGCTGAGTGGGAATTCCAAGGGAGGCTCTGGTATCTGGCAAATGTCAGAAGCTCCTGGACCGTCAAACCCTATTGTGGGAGGGAAATCGACTCTTGGTGTGCCAAGTACCGAGAGAGGACAGTCTCAAGATCTACAGCCCCTGCTGCAACAGCTCACCAAGTGCAATGAATTGTTACTGACAAGCTGGTGCCTGGGATTGGCTTCTGTGGGTAAATGCTTGGAGCGATGAGAAATTCCCCTCAAGGTCAGGAGAACTGCTTGCCATTCAACCTAACCTGCCAAGGAAGAAACCGAGCCAGAGCAGCGGCCAAAAGCTAAAATAGGGGAGACAAGAGATGAGCCAAAAAGACAATGATAATATTACTTTTGTTTTTCACTGCATTCGTATTTCCCATGCAGCTGCTGCCTTCCTTTGAGATTGGCTCATGGACTGAAGATGACGTGGTAAGCGGCTTCTGTTAATGCCTCCTTTGACCTGGGCAGGTATTTCAGACATTGGTCCACAAGTTACAGATGCAGCTGGAGGGGTCGGGGCCTTAAGAAAATCTAACTAGGAGAAGTTGACAAATTCCTTGTTTTTCTATTTTTAATGCAGTAATGATTTAAAATAAGGCCTCAAGAGCAAGGCAAGTATCTCTTCAAATCTTACAAGAGGATTCCACCTCCCTATTTGCTCTGAAAGGTATTCCAGAATACTATAATGAATACCGATGGCAAAGTTAAAGGAGTGAGCCAGGATACCAGATGAACAAACGTGAAAACAGTTTGATCTTAAGTTTTCCTAAAACACCAGGGACAGACTGGAACCACAGTGGAGAAAGATCTGGGAAAGGCAGCTCTAGACTGGGATTCCGCTGAACTGGGTTTCCTTCCTACCTTAGGCCTGTTTGAAAGTGACGGGTGCATCTGTCCTCTGGCCTTTCCCAGGAAGAACGGATGCAAGCTCCCAGACATCCTCTGCAGCTGCAGCCAGAGGAGGAGGACAGATTACTTAGGTCCAGAGGAAGTTCTATACCTTACACTTGGGTAGAGACCCTAAGGAACAATCCTTCTTAGCCTGTTGCGTCTCTGTATTTGCTTCTTTAGTGAAAAGTCTGGAGAATTCTTGATCAGAGACCTCAGGGGCTTATACTTGTCCAGGTCCATTTTATAGGCTCAAGTCCCATTAAATGAAAAAGAAAAACAGCTGTAATGCCAGCCTTAGCAAGCCCTCACCCCAGAGAACAGACCAGATGCCACAGTGTACAAATTCACTGCTAGAAACTCTTAGGAAGGTCTGTTTACCTACCTCAACCTGGTTTCTGGACTGGGGCGTTTTCCTCCCTGCCCACCATGCTCTGGTGAAGTAAAACTGCTTTCAACATTAGCTAACCTCTTTGGCTTCTATAGGGTGAGGAAACTTGGCACCACTTGCCTCTACTTCTTCCCATTCACTGGGCCTCGTTGTTGGTAAAGTTCCCACCAGCCCGGATTGTTAACAAGGAAAAAGAACTTAGGATCTATTCATGGGTCTGGATATAATCCCTTTATCCCCAGCTGGAAAGTTGGCCCATCTCATTTGAGAAGAAATTTTTTAAAAAGCACTGAGCTCTAACAGTTATTTTTAGTCTTTGCTCTGAGGTCGAGTGGTTTTCAAGCCATGTAAATAAAATCCCAGGGTCAAGGGCCCCCCAGAGAATTGCTGGGACTGGGTCTGGCCGCCCTTCTATGTGAGAGGCTACCAGTAAACACGTGCCAAGTGATATTCAAGGACAGAGGGTCACTGGGTCCAACTTCATTCTATACAGGAAGCTCCGTGCTTTAACTTGTCTTGGGCCACAGAGCTACTTCCTGACCAGGCCTAGGACATAGCATATTCTGCCCACTTCTCTGTCCACTGCCGTGTGGTCCCTGCTCCGCATACAATTCCTGGGTAAACCAGTACCCCTCAGTAGCTCCGGGGATGACCAGCACATAAAGAGAAAAGTCATTATAAGTTAAGAACCTTCTTGAAGGCTTTTTTTAAATCTCCCAAATAAAAAGCAAAACCCACATTTCCTCAAGTATCCCAAGATGTCCACAGGGAGGGGTATCTCCAATTTGAGAGCTTGATGTTTTAAATCCATAAAGAGAATGTCTTTCATTTTACCTTGGTGGTTGAGCCAAAACTTACATTGCAAAACTACAGATATTTTAATCTATCAAAAAGTGTGTTTTACTGTGAAGTCAGGCCACTGACCGTGTGTGAATCTTCAAATCCATATGTGTCCTCTCTTTCACAGTATTTTTGGGTTCAGCAGCTCGTCAGAAAAGGCAAGTAGAATAACTTACCTTCTTAATTCATGCAGTTAACTTTGCTCAGGGCATGGTTTCATCTCATTTTGTTCTGCCTTCTAATCCCTTCCTTCAGGGGACTCTTCCGAAGAGATGAGCATATATGCAAGCTTGTTTAAGGAAAACAACATTACAGGAAAGCGACTGCTGCTTCTGGAGGAAGAAGACTTGAAGGACATGGGCATTGTCTCCAAGGGGCACATCATCCACCTGAAGGTACCTCAGAGAGGGAGGACAGTTGGTTGACAATCTTTACTGAGCACCTACTATGTAGCAGACCTTGTGTCATGTCAGAGGCTGAGGATACACACGCGAGTGCAATCGGCTGTTACGGTGCTGAGATACTCCCATACCAGCTGATAATTAGCCTCTGCTCCCATGGGACCCCCACTCCCTCCTCATAATCCAACCCAGCACACCAGAAGTCACCTAGATACACCTGAATATCACTCCATGCCCTCAGGAAGTCCCCAGTTCAGTCGAGAAGACAGGGATTGATCATGCAATCGTGATAAAAAGACAGCTGTAGGAAATGCCACAAAGGAGAAGTGAGGTTGAGATGAGGAAAGTCTTTTGCAAAGAAGTTGTGAAGGAGCGGAGAGCCTAAAGACAAGCAGGTGCGGACCAGGGGAAGGGGATACAGGGGAGGAGGTGTTCTGAAAGGGAAGGCACCGCCAGTGGCAAGGCTGTGGTGTGAGAGGCAGCTTGGTGGGCCGGGAGGCCCTGGAGACGTCTTTGTCCGGTGCCTGCAGACCGGCCGTCCACCCGGGAAGACAGCTGGTGATTCCCTTAAAGGCCAGAGAGGCTGGCTGCCCATTAGGAATCCCTAAGGATGCTGGGCCTGTGCGGAGTGAAAGCTAAGCCACTGTAGCACCTAACCTCACGGGAGTGTGTGTTCAGTTTGTAGTGTTTGTAATTTTGACCCAGAACGGACACACCACGTGTGTATTCTAATCCTTCATTTTCTCAGGAAATCCTAACATGTCCCCCCAGACTGAAGTCTTGAACACTTTAAAAGCTAAACCTGTTTTTGGTGCTGTTGCTTTTCTTTTCTTTTTTTGGTAGGTAGCAACCAGATCTGTTTGTCTTGTTTTTTAGTTACCCAAACCAAATAATTGCTGGCATCTGTGTGGACGCTGTTACTAGAGGTGTGTTTCAAGAGAGATTTTAGGATAAAATCAGTTTGTTCCCTGGACCTTCTCAACCCCATTGTGGGTGGATGGACGGGTGGGCATAGGTTAGAAAGAAGAGAAGTCAAAGAAGGAAAGGTAGAAAAAGCAGCTTCCTAGCCAAACCCTATCTCACAAAGTCTCTACTAACACGTCAACTGCTTTTCCCTTTACTTCAGTTAAAGCCACCGGTGTGGCTTTTTCCTTTCTAAGGAAATCCCCTCGGAGGTCCAAAGAGAACCCATCTACTTCCGTTCTGCGAGCCCTGGGCCCATGCAAGGACTGTCCTTACAGCCCAAGCACCTGTTGGATGATGGCTTAGCCTTAACCTCACCATCTTCTCCCTCTTAGAATAGGGCAGGAAACCTCATTCATAAACATACATCTCAGAGGCTGGCAAGTAATTTAATCTCGACCTCTGGGTGTGGGCACATCCATCCTGAAAAGCTAAGCTGGCTCAGATGGGCTGCAATGGGAAAAATTATTTTCTCTAGTGCAGAGAAGTTTCAAGTTTCCAACAGAGCAATGTGGTAAATCCTGTCCTATTTGGCAGATGACAAGTAAGATGCTCCGACCTCCCTTTCCCTCTGCTGTCTTTGAAAAAGGACCAACATTCCTTAAGGAGCTGTCAGGAGGAAAGAGGGTGGCAAGCTTTAAATCACAGAGCAATAGTGATTTAAATACCCCCGAGTGGGCCTAAGAGACAGTGCCCCCACCATGCTGGTTGGTATCATTAGGGCAAGCAACGTCCAAACTTATTATTGTTCAACAAATTCAGTGAATGCCTACTACCTGCAAGATTGGGCCTGTGCAGATACGGAGAAGAATCCTGCCCTTGAGGAGTGTACGCCCCAGAGAAGAGAAAACATGTACATGCAACTTCTCATGATAAAGAGTCTTGGCAGTTGGGAGGAAAGGAACCATTCACTGCCTCTGCTTGGGAGGGGCTGTGGGCGGTGGGGGGGGGGGGGGGGTCGGCCAGAGGGAAACCTTCATGGAGTGGGGAGGGTCCCCAAGCTGGATCTTGAAGAAGGACAGAATTTGGAATGCACACAGGCGCAGGAAAGGCAAGAACATGAATTTAGACAGAATAAGGAGTTCAGAGAGAAGGAAACAGGAGAGAACAGAAAAAACTGGTTCACTACAAGGAACAATAGGTGGCTGTGTCTGGTGGAAGCCTCGTGCCACAGAGGGTGGAAGGGAGGTGAGGCCAGACCCTGACAGTTCATGCAGGTGTTTTCCTTCATGCAGGTGTTTCATGGCTTCTGTGCAGTGGCTTCAGGCCAGTTCATGGCTTCAGGCCAGGGGTCTGGAGTCCGACCAGCTGCAGGGAGTATTGGAAGTTTTGAGAACTGACATGTTGAAAACTTTGCTTCTGGAAGTTGTGAAGTAGATTAGAAAGGAGAGGCTAGGTTGGGAAAGACCAGTTCAGAGGTTATGATACAAAGTAAGAAGGCCTAGCTAAGTGTCACGAAAACGTGAATAGAGACGGGAAGGATTCCACAGGTAACAGATCTATTTGCTGGTTCAAGAAGGAAAACTAGTGAGCACACGCCGTGACGTAGCATAACCGCAAAACCATCCTGCAGAAGAAGCCAGACCCAAAGGGCCACCTAGTGTATGATTCCATTTACATGAAATATCCAGAAGATAGGTAAATCCACCTTACAGAAAATGTATTCGTGGTTGTCAGGGGCTGGGAATGTCAGGAGTGACTGCTACTAGGCACAGGGTCCCCAAATGTTTTGGAACCAGACAGAGGTACTAGCTGCACAATGCTCCGAAGGTACTAAATGCTGCTGATTCAGCACTTTAAAATGGTTAATTTCATGACAGTGAATTTCACCTCAATAAATAAATAAAAAGAAGGAAAGCACAGTGGCATGTACACGCCTGACCACAAACAGTCTTCCAGTGGGGAAGCTTTCTCTATTTGACAGACGATGGGCCTTCAAGAAGGATGCATGTGGCAAGGAGACATCCTAGGAGCCTAGGCAGGAGGAAAAGAGGAATGCCCACCCAGGAAGTAGGAAAAGGAGGAGAGAATGGTGTTACAGAAGCCAAAGGTTAAAAAGCTTTATAAAAACAGAGTCTAATGCTGCACAGAAGCCATGAAACACCTGCATGAAGGGAAAGCCCTCACTGGAGGCAGCTGGTTGGGGTAGGGTCAGTGCAATGTCCTCTGCTCATGAAGCAGAGTATCTGCCCTGAGCTCCAAAACAGAGAGCAGACCAGTATCGGGGGGGACCCAAGACTCCCCTGAAACTCATGGATGAGAATGCATATGTGCATAAAGACAGTTCCCAGAGAGGTGAGTCTCAAAAGTCAGGCGGTCCACCTAACTGCCAAAGCCACAGCTAGGTTACTGGCCACTCACGGGAGACTCAGCCAACACGTGACACTCTTAACTCAGCCGGGTTGTGGGTATTTGTGACAAAAAAGCTTGTATGACAGAGAAGGATTAAGAGAAAAGGATGATGGAGGCTTGTTCTGGGAGGTCCTGCAAACATTTGTGGGGATATGAGGACAAATAATGCTTTGAGCTGGGCCTCTGGGGATAGGACACCAGGTGAATACCTCCAGACTAAAGGAGCCTTCCTGGTACTTGTCAGGCTTGTCACACACACACACACACACACACACACACACACACACTCACACAGACAATGAGAATGTGCCCTCCATTCTCTGCTGTCACCAAGGAAAGCACAATCATCGCTGTGTACTTTCTCAAAGAGACTCTCAACCCTTAAATGGTAGGTCATGAAACTAAACAGTCTTTCTACCTACCCCTCTGCCACTTCGTTGTCCCTTTAAACCTGTCTCAGCATCCTTCTTCCCTGTGCCTGGAAGCCTTCACGTGGAGGGGCCGTGCGGAGGGAATGGGGCTGAACATCCGTAAGTGTTCATTACATTGTCAAGTGTCAACAGCTTTCATTTCACTTTGAAAAATGCATCTAATTTTTCTCACATTGGCACTTTCTTACTCTCTACGTGATACGTTCTGTTCACAGAAAAGCTGGATTATACCTGAGGAGTATAAAAAAATAATTTAAATGGTTGCCCTTTCCTTCAAGAGTTCTTTGTGCTTCAGTGGGGGCAGGGGGAGCACTGGACACATACCCATAGTAAAGCCCTTACCATGCAATAAACCCTTTAGTGAGATTTCAGCCTTAATGAAAGTCTCTGGTGATATATTCATGTTCTTTGTTGTTTTTCCCACAGTTACTCAGGGTGACAACTGCATTCTGCACACTACAACATTAACTTGTCGCCAGTATACTCTACCAGTGTTTGAAGAATGGTTTTATTTACTGTGTACTCTGAGACTTAACATCTTTAAAATATCTGCCTGTTCCATTAAATAATTAGGAACTACCTAGAATACTCTGAACAGCTTTATTCTCAATAGATGTTGGATATTAACATCCCCAAGACATTTTATGGGCTACATAAAGAATGCCTTTATATGTGCACAATAATTTAAATCCTCTCTTGGCACTGTCGGATCATTAATAAAGTCATGTGTTTTTGTTTTTGTTTTTGCTTTTACAGTCAGCCATTGAGAAATTAACCCACGATTACCTAAACTTATTTCACTTCCCACCACTGATTAAGGTAAGTAAGGTGTTTTTCTCACCGAGAATGGGCTACTTTATTGATGTATGCACCTGCTACATCCACACCTAAATTTGCCAATGTCGGGAATTGTTGTTTGAAGCAAACTTTAATTATTGTCTAACAAAAGGCCCTTTGAGTGAAGCTTAGGATGTGCATAAATTCAACATGCTTGATTCCTACAAGTTGAAATATTAACAGTGTATTCATGATAAGAACAACACATGTCACCTTAGTGACTCACGGATGTTAAATACTAACATTGTAGATTAGTACAATGGCCTCCCACCTGTCTCCAGAAACCTTTGTCCAGCACATAAGTCACTAAAGGAATTCACATAGTAGGGCTCTGGATTATCTATCACTTGCATTGGGTGCAGGGGATAGGAGATGTCTTGTTTGAATAACATATTATATTTGACTTATTATTTTGAATCCAGTCTACAAGTATATGGCACATGTTTTTATACAGTACGTGTTTGCAATTAATACACAGAGCTCTTCTCATTCACTATGGTTTTCCACCTCTAAACTCCAGAAGGTTCCTTTTGTTTCTTTTCTTGGCCCTTCACCTTCATCTGTTCTAGCAAGTACACAGTTCCTCTTTGGGAACTGCTTGCAAATATCTTGAGTGTTAAGAACTCTCAGAGTGAAGTCTCATAGTGCATCTCCAGGTGCTAAGTGCATTGCTAGAGTAAAACTGTACAATGCAAGATGCATTGTGAAACATGTAAGACAGTGACATTCAATTTGTAGCGCATGAGGTAAGTCATGTGGAAATGTTCTCAAAGGCTTAAGATGTCATTTCTCTTGCTTTAAAGAATTGTCATTTGTAGCTTGATCCAAATTATCAAACATTAAACAATAGGTTAGCATGGAAACACTAGTACTGAGAAATCATCTCTTCTATATGAAATAAAAAAAAAAAAAGACACTACATACTATTTAGAGTAAATAGTGCTTGGTTTTCTGTTTTAGGACTCAGTAGATGAACCTAAAGAAAATGAGGAAAAAATCGTGAACCTTGAACTTGTTTTTGGTTTTCACTTGAAACCAGGAACTGGCCCACAGGTAAATCACATATTAAGTCTTTTGGATAAATTTCGATCTAATTTACTATTTTTCTCTCTTGGAACTCTGTGATTTCATACACCTCCCCCTCCCCCCCATCCCCCACCCACCGGATAACCCAATTATGAGTAAAGTATATGAGCTTTAAAAAATAGAATTTACTTGAAAGGCTGCCAGGGGCGCCTGGTGGCTCAGTCGGTTAAACATTCCAACTTCAGGTCAGGGCATGATCTCACAGTTCGTGAGTTTGAGCCCCACATCAACTCACTTGCTGTCAGCACAGAGCCCACTTCCAGTCTTCTGTCCCCCTCTCTCTCTGCCCCTCCCCCACTCTTTCTCTCCCTTTCCCTCTCTCTCAAAACTAAACCTTAAAAAAAATAAAAAGAGGGGGCGCCTGGGTGGCACAGTCGGTTAAGTGTCCGACTTCAGCCAGGTCACGATCTCGCGGTCCGTGAGTTCGAGCCCCGCGTCGGGCTCTGGGCTGATGGCTCGGAGCCTGGAGCCTGTTTCCGATTCTGTGTCTCCCTCTCTCTCTGCCCCTCCCCCGTTCATGCTCTGTCTCTCTCTGTCCCAAAAATAAATAAACGTTGAAAAAAAAAAAATAAATAAATAAATAAATAAATAAATAAATAAATAAAAAGAAAAAAAGAAAGAAACAAAAAGAAAGGCTGCCAGCCACCTATGTAATCCAGTCTTGGAATCTTACTCTCTTGTTCAGCTGAAGAGTCCTGTGTGAGACTACCCAAACCCTCAGGGAAACTCACAGCAAAGCATTGGGGGGCGGCGGGGAGGATGCCAAAGTGACAGTTGATGCTGTTGGGCCTCGAGCATCTCATCTTCTTGTTTCTGTTTTATAACACTGAGAGTAAAACAACACCGAGAGTAGAACTGTAGGCAATATGGAAACCCAAAGTATCAGCTCTAAATAGGGCAGAAGGGCATTTGACCAACACTTATTCAATCAGGCTTTCGCTATATGTTAATTTTAGAGTGTGGCAAAATTACTTGACCCAGGGGGCATATGAACTGGAATCACAACAAGTTTGTGTTACTTTGGATTACCATAGATAGGCAGTAATGATAACTTATATTAATGGACCACATATTGTGTTCCAGGCACACAGTACTGAGACATAAATGCTACTTCCCCCTATTTTACAAATGAGGAAACTGGGGCTCTGAAAAGGTTAACTAACTTACCCAAGGGTTACCTGGCTAGCAAGCAGAGAGATGAGGCTTTGAATGCAGGCCTCTCTGATCCCAGAACGAAGCTCTTACTTACGGCACCGTTTGTACCTTTCTTTGGAGGCAGCAGCTAAGAGACCTTGTGAATATAGCTCCTTACAACCCATAGCCAGTTGCTCTGGGAGTGCTAGCCTAGGCTCAGCTAGCCCACTGGCCTGTCCCTAATTAGGCTGTGCATACCCCAGGCCATTCCTGAAACCAGTGTTTGGGAGTGACTGGAAATGGTTTTGAAGGGGTAAACACTTCAAAAGATACACTTTCTGGACTCCTGACAGTGTCCTGCCTGCACCACTACAGCTGTATCGGTGCTTTTGCTGAATGGAAATCTTTATCTCCCTGGTTTTGCCATAGAAGCTGGTTGAGTTAAAAAAAAAAAAAAAAAAAAAAAAAGCAGCAGCAGCAGCTGGTTGAGTGAAAGGTTTCTCATATACGAGGACTTTCCTTTCTTCCTGTGATGGGTCATGGTCTAGTCATTCCTGTTGTTAGAAGCAGCTACAGAAAGTGGGGCAGTAAGATCCTCTCTACAACAACAACCAGGCACCCTTCTAGCCCTGGGATTCTGTGGCCGTGGGCACTCCCAAGTCCATGTGATGGTAAACAAATCACATATTTTAATTTGCTCTCTTTGATGTCCTCGACTCCATGGCACTTAGTACTCTTTGTTTAAACCATCGTATGGCTTGTAGGTGGTGAAAGAAGAGGGAAGAATGTTTTTTGAGAGAGACTTGTCAAATTTAGTCTCAACCAAGAAAATAACTTGCAACTAACAAAGAAATGACTTGTTAATATGGAAAACTAAAAAATATCCTCTGTAAACATTTGCAAGGTATAAAGGATACTGGAGACCAAATACAGTGGTTTCGTTTTGTCCACAGTTGTGTAGCCTTCTCAAGCCGTAGGTTTTCACGAGGCCTAAAGTCACTGCAGCTTTTGACAGCCTATTGATCCTTGATCATGCCTACAGTCATAATTTCAATATATTTACACCATGCATTCAGCAGACGTTTACTGAGGACCTGGCTCTCTGCTAGGTCAGAATACAAAATCAAAAAGTACAGTCCCTGGCTTGCAAGGAACCCATCGCTGATTGGAAGAAATAGACAAGATCAGTGAATGGTTTTAGTACAGAATGACGCCTTTTTTTTTTTTTTTTTTAACAACATCAAGCACATCATTCAATGGAAGCACACTGGCTGCACATTGAAAGCAGATGCATAGAGGGGTCAGAGAGGATCTTAAGGTCTTTTTGGTAGAAGTGATGCTTCAACTAAAAATTTAAAACCATTAGGAATTATTAGGCAGGGAGAAGACATGAAAGGCAAAAGGCATAGCTGGCATCTGCAAAAGATGTATGAAGTATGAAGCCAGGAAGACACAGGGAGCTCTTCTTTAGGCTAATTTCTATGGGACTGCACAACTCACTTTAAGCATCACTGCCTCTGGGACTTAGCACGAAGCAGGGGGACGAGTGTGGTGAGAGTTAGGCCGTAATAGTGGCTGGTGACCAGAAAAAGAACGATGTTAGGTGCTAAACTAAGGAGTTTTAAAAGTTTTAAGCTGGGAGTAGATAGGATCAGATTTATGTTTTTAAAAGATCTCTCAGGGGCACCTGGCTGGCTCAGAGCATGAGACTCTTGATCTTGGAGTTGTGAGTCCAAGCCTCATGTTGTGTGTAGAGATTACCTAAAAATAAAATATAAAAAAAATTTTTTAAGTAAATAAATAAAATATCTCTAAAAAGCACAGGGGAGGGTCAACCGGAAAGAGACCAGGCTAAAGTGAGAAAGACCCATTAGCGGGCAATGCAGACAACCAGGTTAAAGGGAACAAGGAGAGGAGGCTATGGCAGTGCCATGGAAGCGCCAAGAGTCCAAGGACCTCGAGACGCAACTGCTCAGACTGGGTCACCAGCTAGAAATGGTGTAGGGATGGGAGAGGAGCCAGGATATTGCCAGGCTTCTAGTGTGGGCAGCTGGGCAGATGATGTTATAACATAACAGATCAAAAAGTGAAATGTACAATGTGGATGTCATGCCATGGTGCTAAAAGTATAAAGAAGTGACTGGCAGGCTCCGTGCTGAGTGTGGAGCCTGCTTAAGATTCTCTCTCTGTCCCTCTACCCCTCTCTCCAGCTCAGGCGCTCTCTCTCTCCCTCTAAAATTAAAAAAAAAAAAAAATTTTTTTTTTTTTTTTAATTAAAAAAAGGACTGGAATGGATGAGGTTAACCAGGAAAAGCTTTTTTGGAAGGGGTGAGTTTTAAAGCAAGGTTTGAAGAGGTCCATGGTCATTTGCAAACAACTTCCTGAATATAATGTTTAAAGCTTCTACTTAGTACTTTGTTCTAAAGAGCTAAGTTATTTCATAAATGTCATCTTATTTATCCCCTTGGCATTTCTGTGAGATGCTTAAGGTATAATATTGTCATCACTGATCAGGAAACAGAGAGCAAGAGGAAGTGTGTGACCAGCCTTAGATGGGGCGAGGACAGAGCTGAGACTGGAAATTACATCTTTATCATTACCTTCTTATTAAACATGTGCTAGCTCACATACCTGTCCCAGGAGATTTAAGCCATCTGTACATTTTCATAAAATAATCCTAGAATAAATCACTGTCCAGTTCTAAACTACCCAGTTATGCCAGCCTATACCCTAGCATTATGAAATATTTCCCCCACATATTTGAAATTCCAGTTCCCCACATGAAAACTGACCTTGACCTTGACCTTACTGCCTTAACCTTTAAAGGTGGAACCCAAGAAAAAAGGACATCCTCAAAATCCCAACTGAGTTCTCATAAACCCATCGTCACAGAAACGGTGAAGCCTTTCCGTGACTAGAATAAGTTACTAGAGGACACTGATGATCTGCAAGTTGTCTCCAAACCGGGCTTTGCATATCAGGGAGATCTGCTTGACCATTTCACCTTTCCTTTTACAAACAAAATGAAAGATGCGTTCTAATTACAATTACAACCTCCGGGAATAATACAGGACAGTGACCTTATGAAGAAATAGCAGCTCCATTTTCCCATCGCATCTGAAAGGGACCACCAGTTCCACAACCACTTAAAATTAGTACGTTGCTTCAGTACCTGCCCTGCCAGGAGAAAACGGTGAAAATATGACCTTATCCACAAATAACAAATACATGTAGAGGAAAAGCCTTTCATCATAAGACCTGTCAACCTTTTGTTTTAAGAATTCAGATGCAATGCTGGTGTTTAGCCTCATTTTACAACCAGATGGATTCTGGCATAAAAGTGAGGTTGACTTGCTCAACCGAGGAAAGCCATTCACGTCTGAGCGCCTACATGCCTGCTATCGTGGCCAGGGGCCACTGCATGACGCCTTGCTGTGATGTGTCTTTACTGCCTCGCCCTCTGGATAAGCGGGACCTCAGCAGACCAAAGCCCCATGCACATTTACAGCATTCTCGCACAAATGAAGTATGCTTTTCTTCTTTCCTTTTCGAGGCAAACTGGCAGGGAAGATAGGATTGGACCAAAGGCTTCACTGGCCATTTAAATTAACAAAATCTGAGAATGGGGTTTACCCATGTATTTTACCTACTTCTAACAAGTAAATTATTAAATAATGCTATATATTGAGGCAAACTTGAAATTATGACAGTGGAATTGGCAGAAATTGGGTCTTTCTCAGCTCAAAATTTTCCTGTGCTCAGATTTGAAATGCTTGTAATAATTATTTCATACCTTTGCCAGACACTGTGGTAAGTGCTCTGCAAACATTCTT